TGCTTGGTTTTTAGTTAGCTTTAGGTGAAAATTTTGGCAAAGTACGTATGCACTCATAGTCGTTGAAAACTCAAAGTTCTATTAGTGCTGCAATTTTCATTTGTGAAACAACAAAACATAGGAACAGGAAATAGATGTTATACTCTACAAGTGGCAGAGCCAAGATTCAGTCCCTTGTACTGAATCTCCAGATCGTCAATGCCTTGTGCAATGCTATCTACACATATTCCTTCCCAAGAATGGCAGCTCAACACTGCTTTTCTAAAACTCCTTAGTCCAAACTCAGTCTATAGATTCCATCTCTAGCCTTTTCTTTTCTTTTGTTGGGTTTTAATTTTTAGTTTAATTTTGTGGGTTGGGGGCCACACCTGGCAAGGGTTTCTTATGGATCTGTACTCAGTGGTCACTTGTGGTGGTGCCTGGCATCATATACAGTGCCAGGGAATGAACTTAATCAACAGCATAAAAAGCTCATGCTGTAACCCCTGTAGTGTATCTACTATACAAGTCTCAACAGTATACCTCCTAAAATGGGTAGAGTTGAATAGAAATTTTACCAAAGGTTATATACAGATCGCTCCTCAACAGCTGAAAAGATGTTCAATATGCTTTCAGTAGGGAAAATATTCAAACCATAATGACGTAATACTTTATATTCACGATATTGCTTTAATCAAAAAAGACAATTTTTAAAAAGACAATCAATATGGTGAGGATGTGAATCACTTAATCACTTAACTTCCCGTTAGTCGTCGATTTGCTCGCGCAGGCGCCATTAACTTCTCCATTTGTCCCTGTCGCGTGCTAGTGTAGCCCAATGGCATCTGTTCGCTCTGGAAACATGAAGAGCCTCAAACCGATCGTTCTTGATCTTCACGAAGAAGTCTGACCATCTAGTAGGTGGGCGACCACCCGGTCTTTTGACATCCTGTGGAATCCAGTCAGTAACAGCTCTAGTCCAGCGGCCGTCTTTAAATCTCATTATGTGACCAGCCCATATGATTTTTGACACCTTGGCAAATGAGACAGCATCCTTGATTCTTGATCATCAACGGATGTCAGAACTCCGGATTCTTTCTCTCATTTGAGTGAAACGTGATATTCCAAGCATAGCTCTTTCTATTCTTCTTTGGGAGACCTGAATAGCGTTCTCATCCTGTTTGCCTAGGGCCCAGGTCTCTGAGGCATATGTTAATGCAGGAAGAACAGTGGAATCAAAGAGATGTGCCCGGAGCCGGAAGTTCTTCGTCCTCTTAGCTATTTCTTCTATGTTCTTGAAGGTGTTCCAAGCTGCTCTCTTCCTCCTGCGCAGCTCGGGTGCCAGGTCATTTGTCATGTTGACCTCTCGACCTAGGTACACATAGCTGTTGCATTCGGAGATGGTCGTTCCATTGAGAGCGAATGGGGCGTCAGGAACAAGGCTGTTTCTCATAAACATTGTCTTCGTAAGATTCAGCTGTAGTTCTACCTTTCCACACTCACGGTCAAAGTCGGCCAGCATTTGTGCAGCTTGGCTGATGTTTGGTGTTATTAAAACAATGTCATCAGCAAAGTGGAGGTGGTGTAGTTGCCGACCATCTATCTTCACTCCCATTCCTTCCCATTCCAGTCGTCGCATGATGTTCTCGAGGGTGGCACTGAAGAGTTTCGGTGAAATGGTATCACCCTGCCGCACCCCTCTCTTGACATCAACGATCACTTCTTTGTAGAATGGTGAGATCCTGGTAGTGAATCCGCAATACAGCTCACGGAGGATCCTGATGTATAGGGCTTGAATGCCCTGATTGGCTAGGACTTCAATGACCGCTTCCGTCTCAACAGAATCAAAGGCCTTCTTTAAATCAATGAACGTTAAACAGAGCGGCATCTTAAACTCCTGAGAAACCTCAATGAGCTTGGTTATCGTGTGGATATGGTCGATGGTGCTGAATCCTTTGCAGAACCCGGCTTGCTCGCATGGTTGTCCTTCATCTAGTGTTCTGCCAATCCTATTTAGGATGACTCGAGTGAACAACTTGTAGATGACAGACAATAGGCAGATCGGGCGATAGTTGCCAATGTCATGGATGTCTCCCTTCTTGAACAGTAGTACGGTCCTGCTGGTTTTCCATTGGGACGGAACCTTTCATTCAGACAGGTAGCAAGTGAAGAGCCGAGCCAGTGTATTGATGAGTACTGACGGCAGGTTCTTCAGGTGTTCAGATCTGACCTTGTCTGGGCCGGGTGCTGTTTGTTTCTTTACCGACGAAATGGTAAACAGTAACGAACAGTAACAACAAGTCTCACAATTTGTTGTGAGATGTTACTGGTGCCTGCTAGAGCGAGCAAATCGATGAACAATGGGAGGACAGTGCTACAGTCTAACTCACAGGTAAGTAAAAGTAAAAGTAAAGGCCCTCCCTTTGATCATCGATTTGCTCGAGCGGACCCAGTAACATCTCCATTGGAGACTTTGTTGTTACTGTGTTTGGCATATCGAATACGTCACGGGGAGCTTGCCAGGCTCTGCCGTGCGGGCGAGATACTCTCGGTAGCTTGCCGGGCTCTCCGAGAGGGGCAGAGGTATCGAACTTGGGTCAGCCATGTTGGCTGCGTGCAAGGCAAACGCCCTACCGCTGTGCTATTGCTCCAGCCCCACCAAAGAGAAATTAAAACATACATTGATAGCAAATCTTGTATGCAAATATACAGAACATCAGTCATGACAGCCTAGAACCATGTGACCACGGATTGGTAAATGATAAGACAAACTTTGGCTTAGCCCTCTCTAGAATAGTATACTAGAGTCTGTCAACATGAACAAACATCAAAAACGTCATGTTAAGTGGAAGAAGCCAAACAACTCCTATACTATCTGATTTTCTCTATCTAGCAATCCATTAAAAGCCCACTAGAGGATAGAACCAGTTGGTGTTTACATAGAGCTGGGCAGGAATGGGAAATTGATAACAAATGGGTATGAGTGATTTTTTCAAGGGGGATTGAAATGTTCTAAATTGTATTTTGATAAATTTATTAAAAGTTGGTGACTTTGGGGGCTGGAGCAATAGCACAGCAGGGAGGGCATTTGCTTTGCACGTGGCCAAACCAGATTCGATTCCCAGCATCCCATATGGTCCCCCGAGTACTGCCAGGAGTAATTCCTGAGTGTAGAGCCAGGAGTAACCCCTGTGCATCTCAGGGTGTGACCCAGAAAGAAAAATGTTGAATTTATAGTACACAAATTACACATCAATGAAGAAGTTTTTGAAATACATGTATAGATAGAAGTAAAACATATTTCACTTTATAGTGAGACTTGATGTGGGTTTCACAAGCATGGAAAAAGAGCTCTGTCTCATTAGTCTTTAGCCATAGGTTATTTTTGTTGTTGTTTGCCATAAGCTATGGTGCTGAGGATTTGATCCTAGGTCTGAATTTAGAGATCACTTCTGGTGGTCTTGGGGGTGCCAGAGATCAAACCCAGGTGAACTGGTGCAGGGCAAGTGCCTTACTCATTGTACTATCTCTCTGACCCCAATTAAAAGTCTTTGATTGTCATTTTGGTGTTGGGCCACACCTGATATTGCTCAGGGCTTATTCCTGGGGGAGCTCAGAGATTAGAGGGGTTGCTGGGAATTGAACCTGGGTCTGATGTCTTTGTCTCTGGGCTGCCCAGAGGTGTGCAAGGCTTGTTCCTGGCTCTGTGCTCAAGAATGATTCCTGGTGGTTCTTCCAGGTGTGTATGGGGTTTCAGGGACTGAGCTTGCAGCAGCAGCTGCAGCAGCAGCAGCAGCAAGAGAAGTTTATTACTGCTGTGTTCTCTCTCTATCCTCATAGCTATACTCATGTACTCATACAATTCTTGTATTAGTATTTTGTTAAATGTTTTAAATTACCTTAAAAAATTTCCCCCCCTTCTTTTTTTTTGCTGCTGCTGCTTTGCCTATACCTTGCACACTTGGTTGCAGTGCTTGCCCAAGGTCACTCAGTTTGAACTGGTGTCTGAAAGATGCATTTGGCACGTAGGGTAGAAGGGAGCCTAAGATTGCAAGGCTAGCCTATAAAATCATCACTCAACTACTGAGCTATTCCTGGAACCCCTATTCTTTTACAGTCAAGTTCTCTTTGTCATTAACTTTGTAATACTCGAGTCACAAGTATACAGTAGATACTCATCTGTGATCTTAATTGTATGCATGTTGAATCCTTTACACAAATAAAGATATCAGCAACATCTCAATCAAAATTTTCACTGTTAATTTTGGTATAAAAATAAGCATTTGAACTGGGGACACAGCTCAGAGGTATGCTATCATGTCTGAGGCACTCGGTTCAATGCCTGGCTCAGACAAAACAAATATAATACAAACAAACACAGACACCCAGCACTTGACCTACGGCAGTTTTTTTTACAAAGTAGCCAAAGGACTTTGAAAGTTTAGCTCTAATATTACCTCCTTTGGAAACAACTATCGTGACCCCCCAACCCTTCTCCCCAAGACTTGCATCTTCTGTTCCCTCCAGGCTGTAAAACCAGGTTGTTTTTACGTGGTGATCACACTAGGGTGGGGCTCAAGATTCAAGGTTAACTTCCTAGCCCAATCTCCGGCTCCCAGCAAACCACTAACTGGCGTCGTGGACCGAAAGGGGCTAGCAAGCGCAGCCTGGATTCATCCACGAAGGGAAGCCCACCGTGCGGTGACACTTGAGGATTTCTAAATGAGCTTTGTAGTGAGTGCGGTGGACACCACGTGGGCTGCGGTATGTGCCCCCCAAGAGGGGGCCAGAGAAAGGCAGGTGCATGAGTGGTGGTGGCAGGTGGGCGGAGGGCGCATCCCGGGTTTCCCTGCACGGTTCGCAGACGTCATCCCGAAACCGCAGCTGCGGGAGCCGCGACAGGGCCGAGGCCCCGCCTTCGCCGCCGGAAACGGAACTCCCGGAGCCAGCGGAGACGGAAGTTCCTGGGCGGGCCCGCGGCGGAAGCGGAAGCGTTAGTGCGAGAGGGAGCGGGACCGAGATCTGGGGTCCGGTAGCGGGGCGTCCGCATGGCTGAGTCCGGGGCTGTGGCCGCCGAGTACCCGTCGGGGGGCCGGGCGCGGGCGGCGCGCACGCTGCTCGACCAGGTGGTGCTCCCGGGCGAGGAGCTGCTCCTCCCGGAGCAGGAGGACGCGGACGGCCCCGGGGGCGCGGGCGAGCGGCCGCTGCGCCTGACGAACTGGACGCGCTCGCGGGTGCGCGTGGTGTGCGGGCCGGGCCTGCGGCGCTGCGGCGACCGCCTGCTGGTCACCAAGTGCGGGCGCCTCCGCCACAAGGAGCCCGGCGGCGGCGGCGGCGCGGGCGGCGTGTACTGGGTGGACTCACAGCAGAAGCGGGTGAGCGAGCGAGCGGCCGGCCAAGTCAGTTGGGGGGTCCCAGATGCCAAGAACCAGGCGTAGGTCATTGATCGAGGCCTCAGGAAGAGGATTTTTTTCCTTTTTTAACTTTTTTTTGGGGGGGGCGTCACACCCGGCAATGCTCAGGGGTCACTCCTGGCTCTGCACTCTTGGCGGTGCTCAGGGGGACCGTATGGGAAGCCAGGGATCGAGCTCAAGCCTTCCCCGCCACCCCCAGGAAGCAGAATTTTTTTCTTAGGAGCGCAGACTTGGCCCAGAGAGGAAATAAAAGGGTTTTCTTGGTGGTCCTCGTCCCGAGCGCTTGTGCCCGCAGAGGCTCGGGACCCTTACCTAAAGAGGGGGGTGCGGCCGGCCTTATTGTGAGATACCTGTTTGTAACCGTTGGACTTCAAGATGTGGAGGGGTGGGTGTAGTTCTAGTTTCTTTCTTGCTTGGACACGCCTGGCCGGGGTTGGGAGTCGACCCGAGTGTTCAAGGGCTTCACGAAGTGCTGGGGATTGACGTCCGACTCCCGCCGGACTGTCCTCAAAATAGTTTCCAAACCCTCACTGGGGACTTGCTGAGGGATGATCTGGAAATGACCGTCTATCATGGTGGTTCTGTTTTGTTTGTTTTCCTTTGCAGTATGTCCCAGTGAAAGGGGACCATGTAATTGGCATAGTGACCGCTAAATCTGGAGACACGTTCAAGGTCGATGTTGGAGGGAGTGAGCCTGCCTCTCTCTCTTACTTAGCATTTGAAGGCGCCACGAAAAGAAACAGACCAAACGTCCAAGTAAGGATAAAAGAAACCTTTGGTTTAAAGAGATATTTAAAAAAGAAAAATCCCTAATAACCAGAAACAGTACCAGAAAGCTGCCTAAATTGTCCCCAAAAGCATGACCTGTTTTGTAGTTCAGCATCTTCAAGCATCTGTGTAACAATTCTAGGTTGAAGAATTCCAATTATTTAGGAATAACTGTCAGCCCTTAAATATACTCTTTTTATTTGTATTCTGTACATTTCTGCACTGAGGGATGATTTTTGTGTTTTGAGTTGTAAATTTACATCTCTTCTCACATTTTCACTTGTTAATGCCCAGTAATCCTAGACAACAAAGTACGCCATAACCTTAGACAGGGAGGAGGAAAAAGTAATTTTACATAAATTTTCTTCACCCATCCATTCATAATTCTGGTTTTGGGTTCTACAACTTGCATTGCAACTTAAGTCACATAATTTTCGTTTTTCTTGGTCTCGCAAAGGGAAGTCACTTGTTCCCTCAAATTTCCAATTTGGGCCTTCCTTCCTTTTCTGTTTTTTGCCCTTTTTCACTCACCTTTCACATGTCTTTACTTCGACCTTTATTTTGAATAATATGCATTCTAAGAGTTGGTTACCACTATCAATTACTGGTAATTCACTAGAGCAGTGCGTTCTATAATGATGCTGCGTTTTTACATAGGTGCTGAATAAATAGTATGGTAGTCACCAGTCAGTCACATGTGGCTGTTTCAGATTTGACTAATGCAGCCCAACAAACTTGAAATATGACTAGTTTTAGTTAAGTGCCAGTTAAAATAAACACATGTGGCTGCTGTATTGAAGTTTAACCCTTGAGGGTATTCTCTGGCTTTGCGATGAATACTAGTTTGGGGTTTCCTGATGAGTAAAGGGGAGGGGTACATGTGTTAATTTTGCCCACTTAAGACTGAGAGTTAGCAGGAATCGGGATTCCTGAAATCTAGTTGGTCCCTTAGCCACAGAACTAAATGGCTAGCATTGCTGCCTGTGGAAACAGCAGCTACTCCTATAGAATGGTTTGCTGAGAGGAAATGAATTTTTGTGATTATCATTGTAGGTTGGAGATCTCATCTATGGCCAGTTTGTGGTTGCTAATAAAGATATGGAACCAGAGATGGTCTGTATTGACGGCTGTGGAAGAGCCAACGGGATGGGTGTTATTGGACAGGATGGTCTGCTCTTTAAAGTAACTTTGGGCTTAATTAGAAAGTAAGTTCTGAGAATTTCTTGCTTGTCTTGTATAAGTTGTGTCTTCTTGCAAAGTTGATTCATTTGGAGACTCTGATTCTTTCCTCCAAGTTTATCGGTGTCCTTTATAGCACAGTTTTATTTATTTTGTGAAGCAAGGTCGTTTTTATTGAAAATTATTTAGAAAGATGTGATGGAGAGAAATATGTGTGTAAGAGAACACAGGTTTCTGCACAGTGGAAATAAACAAAGAAACATAAGCGAGAGACATTTCAAGGGAGAACATGGGCTTCAAGAGCATGCCTGTAGCACAGATTTAAATTTATGTATTTAGTTCAGTCTTCTAAATGGAATTCATTTGTATTTGATGATTTAGTTTGTGTGTTGATAGAATCTGAGCTATCCTCATTTTCCCTGAGAAACAGGGAAAATCTGCGCTGTTTCTTACAGGTGATAAAGTAAGCTCAAATGTGAAAACATTTCTGAGTTACTTAAAGACAGAGTTTACTGTTGTATAAAATTGCCAAATTTGGTTATGGGGCCCACATGTTGCTTGGCAGATGTGCTCTCAAATCAGTGCTGCCAACCAATCACAGAAGTTAACAGATCTCTTCTTGTAGAAGAGTTTCCAGAGTTTAAGTCTGTAGATCCTTACTACACCAGCTGTGCTGTATTAAAGGAGTTATTCTGGGCACTGCTGAGATGCAAAGCTTTCTGATTGGTCTCTTTTTGCTACTTATTGCGTGAATCTGGAGAGTGAGTCCAGGAGTGTTTTTGTTTTGGAACCACACCCAGCAGTGCTCAGGGGCTACTCCACCCCATGCCATGTCAAGGATAGAATCCAGGCATATTGCTTGCAAGGCTTATGCTATACAGCTCTCCCTTGCTCAAGAGAAGCATACAGCACCTTTGTGGTTTTAGAGTGTACACTCATCAAACACTGACTTGTTAGAAAAATGTTTTGTTAGCATTATACAGATAAACAATTTTACGGTGGAGGTTGGGGTCACACCCAGTGGTATTCAGGGCTTAATCCCGTGCACTCGGGGATCTCTTATGGAGGGTTAAGGGGACCATATGGGGTGCCAGGGATCAAATCTGGGTGGGCCTCATGTAAGGCAAGTGCCCTGTCCTCTGTACTATCTTTTTGGCCCCTATAGGTAATTTTTAAAAGCTACAATTCTAAAATATTGAAGGGGCTCTCCCAACATAGGGGAAGAACTTAAAAATCGGTGACAGGGGTTTGCTCTCTTTAGAACCTAGCCCCCAGTGGTGACCCAGCTTTAAGGAAGGAGATAGCGGGACTGGAGAGTGTACAGGGATTAAGGTGCTGGCCTGTGTGCAGCTGACCCAGGATCCATCCCCAGACCATACAAGGTCACCTGAGCACTGTAGGAATGGTTCCTGAGTACAGCCAGGAGAAAGCCCAGAGTACCACCGAGTGTGGTACCTCTACTCCCTTCACTCCCCAATTAAAAAGGGCAGCAAATACTTGTTCCTGAAATGATGGGGGAAGAAGAGGGCTTGAGTGACTGGAGACTGACTCAAAAAGAAGTTTTTCTAAAGGAAAATCAGGTCATCCCCTACCATATTAAATTTAATTTTCTTCTTTCTTGCCAGGTTGTTAGCTCCGGACTGTGAAATAATACAGGAACTAGGAAAACTGTACCCACTGGAAATTGTATTTGGAATGAATGGAAGAATATGGGTTAAGGCAAAAACCATTCAGCAGACTTTAATTTTGGCAAATATCTTAGAAGCTTGTGAACACATGACAACAGACCAAAGAAAACAGATTTTCTCCAGATTGGCCGAAAGTTGATTTCTATAGTCTTTTGATGGGTCAACTGAGCCAAGAGACTGGGTTTCCTGGGCAATGTTTTTTTCAGGTGAGCTTTTCCATTAGTATTCTATTTATGAATATACATGTTATCTTAATAGGATTCTTAAATCTGTAAAAAGTTACTTGGTTGCCTCCCATGTTGCTGGTGAGAAAAATTATAATTTTTTTACAATAAAGTTAGAAGTTATTATTTATTTTGTGTTAATGTCCTTAGTGTTGCTCTAGAGGAAATATTCTATAATCTGGAAGTGGCTAATTACATTCTGATACTAAAAGGTTCACCAAAGCAATTTGTATATAAAAGTATAAGAAAGCAAACAGACTCACTGTAATCCCATTATTTAGAGGGCAACAGTTAATTGTAGGGGTCTGCTATATATAGTCTAGGCTTGTTTTTTCATGCATTCTGTCATTCTTAGTAACTGCAGAAGACACAATTAGTTAAAACCAAACTCGGTAACTTGGCTTCCATTCTCAACATCTACATACAAGAGTAAAAGGTAAAGGTAAAGGCCATCCCGTTGATCATCGATTTGCTCGAGCGGGCCCAGTAACGTCTCCATTGGAGACTTTGTTGTTAACTGTGTCTGGCATATCGAATACTCTCGGTAGCTTGCCGGGCTCTCCGAGAGGGGCGGAGGAATCGAACTCGGGTCAGCCATGTTGGCCGCTTGTAAGGCGAACGCCCTACCCGCTGTGCTATCGCTCATTAAAATTGTAATTACAGGATTATACTTTATATACTATACCCAGCTCAAATAACATTTAATAATTATTATTATTGCTATTGAAAATTCAGTAGTTGTATAATAGTTCCATGTTACAGGGCTATTTTGGGTATGTCTGGTTTTTGTTTTTCTATCAACACCAAGATGAGGATGTCTGAATCCAAATCCTGACATTTTATTTGCTAAAATCATCTCCTAGAAACCGAATTATTTGTGTTATTTTGTACAATATTTTAGAATTGTAGCTTTTAACCTGCCTAGACTTTTTTCAAAAATGGTTTTTAAGGTTTGTGATAAAATTGGAGAAGAAATTCTTATAAGTCCCTTAGAGTGAAGAGAAGCCTGAGAGATCTCCAGTCATAGGATTAGATAAAACACTCCCAGCGAGTAAGGGCTGCAGACTGCTGGAGACGGCACACAGGAGTTGACAGGATTGTAGGACTTGTTCCACATGCTTGTAAGGATCAAAAAATATTCCTTAAAGGGGTTTCTTGAAGAATGGTTGTTTTTAAGTTAACAAAAAGACAATTTAATCCTCCCCCTGCAAATATCCACAATCCTGAAATATTAAATTATGATGAGGACACATTTTTTTAGAAACCAGGAATACTCTTTCTGAAGCTAGGTAGCATCTTTAGTTATCAATTTTTAATACTTCCAGAGTAACTGAAGCAATTCTATCTAGCACAGGAGCAAAGGTATCAATAAGTTTGTGTTCTAAGAGGTATCTTTCTTGCATCGCCTGCAGTGTATTTTCCAGCTACGTTCAAATTAGACCTAATATTGTATTTGCTTTTTCAGTTTTATCTCCTATGTCTACAAAGATGCTTAGCAAAATGTCCTGTGCAGCTACCATTAGGAAGAGAAAAGCCCTCCACATCCATACACTAAACAAGTGCATAAAAGGCAGAGAGATTGGCAGCAACAGAGTATTAAGCAGTTAGGATAGTTTGATCCTGAGAAGACTGTACTTCATATTACTAAGTTAGGGAAGGTGCCATGATCAAAGGAGGTTGAGAAAGTCATACAATTTCAGGATAGTTAGTGAAAATTTTATTTCTTATATCATTTAAATCATCTTTTTATAAGGAGTAGTAGATTATTCATAAATAGGTGTACAAAAGATTAACACATAGAGAATCATTCCTTGTTCTGTAAACTTTTTACTTTGTCATCATATATCTGGGCACTTCCTGTGAGCTAGGCACTATGGAAGATACAAAAGAACATAAATGTGATCCCTGTTATTTGTAATTTACAGCCTAGTGGAGAGCCAGAATACCATGTAAAGGCAGGTACGAGCCATTGTCACTCTCTGCTGGGCTCTTTGGTCAAGGCTCCTCTGGCACCTTTCCATCTACAGCTGTGATCTTTGCTGCCTATCATTCCGTTGCGTTTTGAAGAACATAGCCTTTACGGGGAGAAACGCCTTTCTTCAATGCTTCAGGCCAGTTTTGAGTCTCAAAGTATGTGGACAGGATGTCAAATACTGTTAAAAGGATAAACAGAAAATAGGTTCACAGGAAAAAGAATTAGTAAAAGTGATTATAGAAGAAAAGGATTTTTTGGAATATGTTATGCAAACCTTTGCACTATACGTGATTCTGGGAAGATAAGCACAGACACAGGGCCTATGTGGAAAGTGTTCACATTGAGGAACAAAGGGCTGAGAATGGACAAATGCTAAAATACAGAGGAACACAGAACACTGGTTATAAAGGAGAGGGGCTGTGACACAACCTGGGAAGAGCAAGGGAGCTGTCTGAGATGCCTCTAAACTTTAATGTGAAGGACAGCAGGCTACTGAAGGCAGGGTGTTCTAGGCCATGGTGACATTCTCAACCCAACTGTTGACCTATGTGGGAAGTGGAAAGAAAACTAAAGTGCTGGAGGCCAGAGAAATAGCCAAAATAGGTGGGAGTGCATGCTTTCCATGCCAGGGGCCTGTATTTGAACCCCTAGCATCACAAGGCCCCCTGGGTACCATGCTGGAAATTATTAGCAACTGAGAACGATGGGATGTAGCCCCCCAAACCAAAAACTACTGAGTGGCCAGAACACAAAAGTGCACATGGTAAGTACAGTAGTCAGAGACAAGACTAATACAAGGACCATTTATACATACTACTAAACAGTGCAAAGCAGTGGTCCTGAGCTTTAACATGTTGGGTGTGGGGCATGAGCAGTACCTTGATTGATTGCCAGTATTTCTGAATGATAGTTTTTCTCATTCTGGCATCTGACCATGTATTCCTGGATTGGCAAGCGAGCAGTTTTGACCGAGTGTTCTTGGGCTTTTTGAAATGTCACTTTCTGTAAATTATAAATATTTTCCATATCAACACACGCATATACTCTAGTAACATGCATAACAAATTGTGAGAAACCCCACTTACCATCACTCTCATTTCCACTTTGTAATCCTATATTAAAAGTAGTGGGGTCAGGGAGACAGCTCAAGTAGCATGTGCCTCGTGCGATTCCCCGGTTTTCATCCCCAGCACAGCATGCCCTCTCCCCATGAACCAGCACCACTTGGTGTGGCTTTAAGAAGCTCCCCAGCATTCAGCCAACAGTTTGCATCACTAAACATTGCCCACCACTTGGGGTGACCCCATTTAAAAAAAAAATTCTATGACCATGAAAACCTGCAGAATGTGAACAGTATTACAGAATGAAGAGTAGTTACTAGTTGCAAGTAAGAACTAGCTTGTGCAACAATACTTCACTTATTTGGGGTCACTGTCTACTAACCTCCACTCACTAATACTTAAACAAGAAAATATGTAAAAAGAAGCAAATAGCCACAAAAGTTAGTTGTATCACTGAGAACACTCCTAGCCTAACTCAGTAAGATCCAATTTTGGACATGTGGCATTTTCACTTCAGAGCCTATTGACAGATTATTGATTAGGAGGACCACTTTCAATTAAGGTAGACCAGCAGCAATAAATATGTTTTTACAGTAAGAGGTAAATAAAAAAGGTTTCTGAAATTTTCAGATGTGTAAGAATCCACTTAGGATCGCAGTTTATAAACTGACATTACTTTTATGATGTCCTAAATCAGCTTGAAATTTAAATGGAAGTTTATATTCACTACCTTATAAATTTTAGACTTCAGGATTAGAGAAAGGTTCAGATTACAGAAGTAATTAACACAGTTGGGTTTGAAAGAGTCTTCAAAGTTAGTAGTCCAAGCCTTGTATCCAGCCAGTGTTTGTTCATCCTCTGAGTCCCAAGTAGCCATCAACTTTTTGATGGATAACCCTTTCACAGTTTCAATTTTGATAGTACTACGTTAATAGGAAACCCTTGATATTAAGCCACATTTACTATTTTTGCTGTAGTTCTCTCTTTGGGCCACACCAAACAAACTAAATTGTGAGTATCTGAAGCCATTCAGATACTTGAAGGCAGTAATCGTGTGTATCTTGTGTATATGTATCTATATGTACATATAAATAAAATACACTTTAAAAAAAAACATGAGCATCCACAAATACGTGCATGGTCACAATGTGTCATGATGGATACACACAGTAATTGTTACCTCGTGTAGAGGACAGTGCTAGATGACATCTCACTGTCCTCTTTAATGTACCATTAACTTTAATCATTATTTCATTAATGTGTTATAAGGGTGCAGTATATTCATATTAATAATTATTAATATCTGGATATTGATAAGTAAATTATTAACTGTTTGGATATTTAAAACCTACAATTTGTATTAAAAGGCCAAATTCAATGAAAGAAACAAGGACACTAAAGTTGCCATTATGAAAGATTTGTGTCAGTGTGGGGAAGATGGTCTAAGAAGAAGCAAGCTACTCATAGAGAACAAAGAGTTATTAAAATGTTGTCAGGGACTGGGTTAATAGTATAGTTGGTATGGCCTTTTTGCATTGCAGGAGGCTGACCTGGGTTCCATCCTGGCAACCTGTATGATGCCTCAAACCCTGCCAGGAGTGATCCCTCAGCACCACTTAGGTATGCCACTTACCTCTCCCCCCCTCCCCCACCAAAGAAAAAATGCTGAGTCAGTGCCTCCCCAATCAGGATGAGAATTACCCTTGCCCAACTAAATGAAGAGAAGAAAGGAGTCACACCAAGTAATGACTCAACACTCTCCATTCTAATTCCTGACTGAATTCTGTCACTATCTAGAATGGGCTTCTTTTTGTTTTATTTTTGGGCCACAACTAGTGGTGCTTAGGGATCACTCCTGGGTACTGGGGACTGAATCTGAGTTGGTCTTGTGCAAGGCAAGTGCCGTACCTGCTGTACTATCACTGCAGCCCCAAGAATGGGCTCCTTCTGGTTCCCTCTTAGTTTTTAGGTCCTTTGGGCATGATGATGACTGAACAAGCACCTCTAAAAGAAGCCTTCATCACTTTTTGAAATACAGTTACTGGCCTAAAATGTACACATACCTTCTGAATGCTTTCATCCACAAGTCCACCAAGGATGTAAACTTTATTTGGATCAACATCTTCAAGAGCTAGTGAAAAAATGAAGGCCATTGAGATTAATTCTGTTTTATAATTTCTAAATCCAAAGAAAGTAAAAGTAAAGATTTGTTAATGACAAAAGGCAGGAGTTTAATAGCTAGAAAATAAAATATAGACATGTTAATTCTTGGGAGGGAAAAACATTTAATTAGACAAATCATTGACAAATCTAACCATAGTTAGAAAGGAGACAAAAGTATAAAGGAAGTGAAATAATTAGAAGACAATAAATACCAAGAACCACTCAACACCAATTCGTTTGAGAATTATGTGACATGAATGATTTTCTGCGGAAAAGTGTATCTAACGTTGCGCTTAAGGAGGGCCTACTGCGGGGGAGCTGACCAGGGATGCTGGGAATGAATGAACAGGGGGTTCCAGAAGGGATGAGAGCAGAACCTGGTAGGACATGTGCCATGTGTCCAAGGTGACATTGCCTATATGAGGTGCGCTGCTTGTCTTCATACTCCTTGGGTGGCACTAATAAATTCGCCACAGGGAATAACAAAAATGAAGGGCAAAGAACGTGCTACTGAAGTATACATACCGTGTTCGGAGTCAGAAGTCAGGTATACCAGGGTGTCCAGCGGAAATACACTAAAGCAGTCTTCTTCTGTTCTGTCCAGCTGGAAGAAGCAGATAAGCCCAATGTAGTGGGAGCTGGGCTGACGTGGCCCATACTGCAGCACCTAGTAGTGCTCAGGCATGGCTCCTGGTGCATTTATGGGGCTACAAGGCTGACAGCCTATTTACAAAAGACAGCTGGGGAGGTGCAATAGCAAGGCAGACACTCAATCCTATAAAATGAGATAAAGTACCTTGACCTACAGACACAATAGACTACAGGGAGGGAGTGACAATGCCAGGGGCAACCTTGAAAAAAGACTGGAATGGGGTGCCTGAAAAGAGGCAAAACTGACCTACTTAGGACAGAGACGTAGCCTAACTATGATATGGCCCAGCGCACTCTTCACCACAACTGTCACCTCCAGGGAAGGCCACACTACCCAGTCTCCGCTACATAATGGACAACACGGTGACCCTTCCAAGGAACAGATCTGGATTCTCGCTCTTGTGTATCGAGCACTAAATTTATGAGACCATAGGGAATGAGCTGAAAACTGCCTCAGGATTCCCTGAAATTCATCTTAAAAAGTCCACAGAACTTACATAGGTTTTTCTTCTGAACCACTGCTGGTGGGAATGTTCAGCCTTTTTGGGTAAACAGTCTGGACCAAAAACTACAAATGAGGGGCCGGAGTGATACTACAGTAGGTAGGATGTTTACCTTTCACGTGGCCAGCCCAGGTTCAATCCCTGGTATCCCATATGGTCCCTTGAGCGTGACCAGGAATTATTTCTGTGTACAGAGTCAAGAGTAACCTCTGACCAGATGTGGCCCAGAAACAAACCTACAAATTGATCTCCCATATGATCCAGCAATTCCACTTCTTGGCATTTACCCCAAGGGCCCCAAAACTATTCAAAAAAGACATTGGCACTTTTATGTAAATTGTGGCATTATTCACAATAACCAAAATATGAGAACAGCCCAGTTATCCAAGAATAGATGACTGGGTAAAGAAACTGTGGTTCATATACAGAATGGAATACTACTTGGCTATAAGATGAAATGTAATTTGCTGCTATGTGGATGAATCTGAGAATATCATGTTGAGTTAAGTTAGGAGAGGGACAGATATCAATGACATTTTTTGGGATATAAATAAAAATAGTAAGAAAACAAATATTCAAAAGCAATAGAAAACAAAGATCTGGTCTTTAGTAGAAGCATATCACTGTGTGTGTGGGGGGGGGAATGGGGGAATAGGATTGTAGGGATTGTGGAGGGTGTCTGGTGTTGCAACGTTTTCTGCATAAAACCCTTCCATTATCAACATTATAAATCAATGCCTAAATTAAAATTTTTAGAAGCTTTCCATCTTCCACACTTCACCCTCACAAACCTAATTCTGCTCTAATGAGAAATGGGCCTTGGCCTTTCCTCCACATCATCGTCATGGAATATGCACTATAGTATACAAGATACAGTAAAGAAATGCAGTTCTAGATACTGGTAATGTATTTGACAATGTGGCACCAGCTTGAAAATTAAATTATTTTTCTTTATACATGAATTCAGATAACAATGATTTACAAGACTATGTTTTAGGGGGACACTTTCACACCTTCAAAATGTTAGACCACACCTACCACCAAAGTACCAATATCCCTCGGCCAGTCCACAGAACCACCTTGCCCTGACCTCCCTCCTCTACCTCTGATAATCTTAGTTCTGTAGTTCAGTAACTTGTGTTGATGGGTTTGTTTTCTTTTGTTGTTCCTTTGCTTTGCTTCTCTGGATCCTACACTGATTTTTTTGGGGGGGGTTGGGGTGGTGGAGCAGAGGAGGAAGAGAGGGATGCATACCACGCTGTGTTTAGTGCTTACTTCTTACTTCTGGCTCTGTGCTCAAAGGACCATATGGGGCTTAAGGGATTGAACCTGGGTTGGCCGCGTGCAAGGCAAATGCTTTAACCACTGTACTGTTACTTCAGCACCCTGCATCTGATACTTGTCTTCCTTAGTCTGACGTTTCACTTTGCATGACTCCCTCCAGAGTTCCAAGGATCAAAAATTAAAAATGTAAGGAATATGAGAGGTTCTGAGTATTTTCAGACTGAACAATATATGCCACAACCTACTTTTCAGATGACCATTCAAATACACAAAATGAGACTTACCAGGTAACTAGAAAAGCCATCATTCATCCTCAGACACTCTTCATACAGGGGACTGTCTGTTGTGAATCCTGTGAGGCAGATCCAAAATGGTTTATCAGCTTTCTTATTTGAACCGTACACCCTTCGGATCTGGCCAGCAAGTCTGCTTAGTTCCTTCAAAGAAATAAAAAGAAGTCAGGGTAGGAACTGCCCACGATAATTTTTTGTCAACAAATAACTACTGAATCTGTTTATTAACACTGCTCTGGAAAACCTCATGAACTAAGATGAACCCTATTACTCCAGGATGAGGATGTGACATGCAAGGGTGAGCAAGTTACAACCCATCTGCACACCTTCCTCCTCTCTCCCAGGAAGCACATACCTGGGGATACTCAAGGGCTAGTCTTGGCTCTGGGTTCAGGAGTCACTCCTGGTGGTGCTTGGGGGAAGATGGGGTGACAGGGATTGAATTCGAGTCTCTAGCATGTAAGGCATACACTCCGGCTCTTTAAATCATTTTCTTGGCTCAAAGTAAGATGCTGTTTCTCTGGGATAAATGCGTGAGGCACTTTATAGGTAAAAGTTGGGAAAACTGAGAACCCTCCTTCCTTCTGGACCTGCCATCATATGTTTAGTAAATTATAAAATGAAATTTTAATTTTTATCTAAAATCTATGTGTTTACTGTCTAACTCATTAAAAGAAGCTAGGTTACAGAAATTTTTTATTCTCTGTCAGATAAAACTTCTCCCTAATTTCAGGAGCTGTAACAGGGTTGGAAGTTTTGACTTTCCTCCCTGATTCTACCTTGCAGAAAGAAACACAATTTGATTTCATTTGGTTAGATACAGAAAAAGCTGTGGGTTTGATATAATTAGTTTGAACAGCACAAAATTATTAGTCGAGGGGCTGGAGTGATAGTACAGTAGGTAAGGCGTGTGCCTTGCACATGACTAATAAGGGTTTATTTCATCCCTGGCACCCTGAGCACAGAGCCAAGAATAAGCCCTGCGCACTGCTGGGTGGGGCCATAAACAATGAAAATTTCAGGCAAAATGCCTAAAACTGAAGGCCCAATAGTATGTGCCACCTTGGCATACCACGAAACCAGACAACCTTGAATGGTGGAACTGCGAATCTTTCTCCTGATTCTGATCCCACGGATAAGGTTCTTAAATTAAAACTAAAAGTTAAATTAAAAACTAAATATTTAATCTTTTAAAATTCTAAATAAAATAAAATAAATTGGTTTGGGGCCGCACTTGATGATGCTCAGGATTATTCCTGGCTCTGAACTCAGGAGTCAATCCTGGCAGTGCTCAGGGGACCGTATGGGATGCCAGAGATCAAACCCGAGTCAGCTTCATGCAAGGCAAGTGCCTCACCTGCTGTACCATTTCTCCAGCCCCCCTATTTAATCCTTTTTATCAAGGGGACCAGGCCTAGTTCTTGTTTATCCCCAAGCAGCTGATTTCAAATCTTTGGGAGCCCGGAGAATTATTCCCAACAGTCAAAGACAGGCTTCTGCAAGAACTGTGTGTTACTTGACTCTTCTGATAGCACAGAGCTGGCTTCCCGCAGCCCCTGGTTGTCCATTCTGTCCCTGGTCGCATCATCCATAGGTCCCTGCAAGTTAAGCAGGGGCACTGTTCCCTGGGACAAGTAGAGGTGACAAATGAGCTGTCATCTAGTATGGAGTGTCCTGAATTCATTCATCTCCAGAATGCTGAAGTAGAAATCCCCCCCCTTTCACCAAAACTATGAACAGGAGAACACTGAAATACCACACTACAAGAACTCCCATGAGCTTGTAACATGCAACTGGGCAAATATTCCTCCCCAAAGAAGGTCCAAGATTTCATCTCAGAGGAACTGAAGTCAAACGATACCATGTAGGCTGGGATCTCATCAACAGACCACAGAGGACTGTGAGCTCTTGAGGTCCAAATCAGAGTTCATCTACTCCATGGGAACTTGAGCAAATTTAGTTGAGTTCAAAACTGAAGAGAAGGTAAAACTACAAACTAAACCAGAGAGTCAGAGAGTATCTGTTCTCTTCCTTTATCTCTACTGCAGCCTCCTCATAACTCGGCAACCATGTGTACACATACTGCTAGTTTCTGACAGAATCACACACATGAGATCGGGCTCTGCTGAAGGGGCAGGAATTCAGAGCTCAGCGGATGACTTACCTTCTGTGACATGTGGTGGGTCATACTCAAATCAATACAGAGTCTTGGTCCTGAAAGTTTAGCTTCCAAAAGTCTCTCCTTGGCTAAAGCTCTCAGAAAACGTTTGCTGTGCTGGGGGCAGATGCCTAGAGCAGAAACGTTGAAAAATGAAAGAAAACAAACAAAAACAATCAAAGGGAGGAAATGGGAATACCACCATTCAGGAAAAAAATGCCTCCAGCAAGGTGAGTGGCTTTTTTTATACAAAGAGAAAACAGAAACTCATGTATAGTATTTGCTCATTAAGATATCAAAGTATAGCAGAGTGCTGAGGACTGAGTGCCTGAAAGCGTTTTGTGGGGTCTAAACCAGAGTTCATCTACTTTCTTTGGGATCTTGAGCAAGTTTATTTACTTATTTTGCTTTTCGGGTCACACCGGCGATGCACAGGGGTTACTCCTGGCTCATACACTCAGGAATTACTTCTGGCGGTGCTTGGGGGACAATATGGAATGCTGGGAATTAAACCCGGGTTGGCCGTGTGCAAGGCAAATGCCCTACCCGTTGTGCTATCGCTCCAGCCCCATTTATTTTTTTGAGCCTCCTCCTCTTCACCTGCAAATTAAGAACAGTCAAAGTACCTACACTTCCAGTAATCCCTGTAAAACTCTTAGCCTTGAATTTAGTACAAGGCACTAAATAAATGCTTATGATACTGGTCTTTCTACTTCTGAGCTTATAAGTAAATGTGCACTAGGTAGGTTATATTTGAAAGATCGCCATAAAGTCTGTTTTCTCTGACACTTTGGTTCCCCCGAAACAGGACAATAGATCCTATCTCCCATATGTTTGTTTTTACCTAAACGATACTCCCACTCCCCTAGGAACATGCAGGCACCCCTTTGTAAGAAATCAGTATGACCCCAGCAATCCAATTTATCGCTACCTGGATTTTCTCTACGACCGGCTTTTCTCCTTTCCTTTTCTTGCTTCCTTTTGCTCTTCTTTGCTGCCAGTACCTTTTCCCAGTGTCTCTGTTTTCTCTGGACATTTTTCTTATGTTATCCAGAAAACAAAATTGTTTGAGAACTTCATAAGCACCAAAAAGGAAAATGAACATTAGAAACAGTTACTTAATTTGTTTTTCATTTCGATACAAACTCAGGAGAGAAAACTTATATTAGCTTTAAAAACAGAAATGGACTAAATTGTGTTTCAAGAACACAGCCCGAGCAAAAATATAGGATGTGCCCAAGGCCACTAATTCTTTAGAGACAGTGTCTGAAGCAATTTAGACTTCTCACTCTTCTGAGGTACATTAAAAAAAAAATCTCTTGGGGGAAAGGGCCTGAGAATTATTGCTGGATGACAGCAGAGGAGGCAAAGACCGAGAAGAAACTCAAAAGTTAAATCACCAAGAAGTTGTGGAGGAAGGTAAGACTTCAATTATCAACAAACTGGGACGCTAAAAAGCTTGTTTGGAATGAGAACTGCAAGAAGAAAAGAAAAAAGTATGTTCAGCAAGAGGAGAAGACAGAAAGTGAAAATGCTAGAGATCAGTGCAGAAGATGCAGAAAGATGGGAGAGGAAACTAAAGAGGAAAACCCTGACCTGGGATTTTGAGATTATGCTGATGGGGCCCAGTTATGCCAGTGTCGTCAGTTGACCAGATAGGTCAAACCTGACATGAAAACGTGTGAGAGATAGAAAGAAAAGCAAACTGAAAAACAAGACAAATATAGCTGGAGAAGGCTTTATATTGGCTACATAAAGGAATGCCAAATTCAACAAGAAGGCAGAAAAGATTCTATGGGAGATATATTGCTGAAATTTAAAATTGGAAAGAAGAACAGCTGTGAAAACTCTTGAAGGAACCATCTTGACCGCCACATTGTACCATTAAAGCAGAATTTTCTGTGGGGGGGTGGGGGGGGGGAATTCTCTCAATGGCTAGAGATAGGAAGGGGTAAGGCTCTTGCCTTGCATGTGGCCAATCCCAACTAGCTGCTGGGCACAGCTTACAGTTTCCTGAATACCACCAGGAGGATCCTTGGTTACAGAGCCAGAAATAGCTCCTAAGCACTCTCAGTTGTGGCCCAGAAACAAAAATACAAGATAAAACAAAAAATTCCTCTTGAGCTTTATTTACTTTTCCTATAGCTCAAACAACAACAACAATAACCCCCCCCCCCCCCCAAAATAAACTCAACCCTGAAACTTTAAACTCATGAACAGGAAACGCATACCTTGGAATACACGAAATCCATTCCCAACCATTTTGCTATCCACACCTGTCCTTAGCACTGGGGTCCCAGCAACATCCCAACACCCGGGAGCCCAGGCAACTCACAGCACTCACCGAACACCAGGGTGCACTGTCTGTGGGCAGGGCCTCTCCCTTCTGCAGGTCACACTCCACATCAATCTGCAGGAGCCCAAAGCTTTCTGAGATGCCCTCCTCGTCCAGGTCCCAGACGAGGCCATCTGGTTCCTGCAGGACGTGGGGCTCTGTCTTAGCGGCAAGGTCTTCCAGTTTGCAGTCCATGTGCTTAGTCCTCTTTTTCACCCAGATTAGAAAAAGGCACAATTATATGAGACACGACAGTATTGGACTTACAGAGTTATTTTCCTAGGTACAAATGGCAGGCAGTTTTGTGAACTTACTGGGAAAGTGAATAAAATACAAGCAGATTTACTGAACTGAGCAAAGTCCTTCAGAAAAATGAATCGGCATAGAAACTTGTAAGACATAAATATGGACATTCCTTAAAAATCTAGAAATTGGGCTCCCATTTGACCCAGCAATAACCACTTCTGGGAATATACCCTGGGGGGCCAAAAACACATAGCAGAAATACCATCTGCACTTCTATGTTCATTACAGCACTATTCACTATAGCCAGAATGGATAAAGAAACCATGGCATATCTACACAATGGAATACTACACAGCTGTTAGGATGAATGAAGTCATGAAATTTGCTTATAAAAATTGATGGACATGAAGAGTATCTACTGAGTGAAATGAGTCAGAAGAAGGCGGCGAGATATAGAATGAATGCACTCATTTGTGGGATATAAAAATATATATAGTAGAAGACTAATATCCATGACCAGGGAAAACGGGGTAGGAGGACTGGCCAATGATCGGAATCAACAATCAACTACAAGTGTGTCAGGTGGAGGGTAGGTAAGATAGAGAAAAGAACAGTATGACAATAATAGTTGGGAATGATCACGCTGGACAAGAACTGAGTGTTAAAAATAGGTATAGGGGGGTTGGAGCAATAGCACAGTGGGTAGGGCTTTATCTCGCAAGCGGCTAACCCAGGTTTGATTCCCAGCATCCCATATGGTCCCCCGAGCACCGCCAGAGTAATTCCTGAGTGCATGAGCCAGGAGTAAACCCTGAGCATCGCCAGGTGTGACCCCCTCAAAAAATTGGTAAAGGTATATTCCTGATAGCCTTTTAGTGTTTGTATTGCAAACCACAATGCCTAAAAGGGGAGAGGGAGAGAGGAAAAGAGGAAGGGAGGGAGGGAGGGAGGGGGGAGGAGAAAGACAGAGAGAGAGAGAGAGAGAGAGAGAGAGAGAGAGAGAGAGCGCGCATCTGCCCTCGAAACAATTCACTTGTACACACCCGGAATTCAGAGCTAAGCCACGTGAATAAGAGCATTTTCCGTGAGGGAACGGAGGTCAAGGTACTCGCTTTGCACGTAGCCTGACCCTGTTGATTCCCGGCACCACCTATGGTCGCCCAGTACCACCAGGAGGGACCCCTTGAGCACAGACCCCCGAGCACCGCAGCGTGTGGTTCAAACACTCCGGCACCCTCTCCCCAGAACATCCTAAATCACATCAGTCCTTCGGCTCGGCACCTGCAGACTCCCCATCCCCCCGCAAAAGCCCGGATCCTGACAGCGGAACTACTTCTACGCTGGTCACGTCAGGAACACCTATGTCCCCTCTCCTGTCCTCTGCAGCCGGCGACCCCCGGGGGGCGCGCGCCGCTGCTCTCTTGCCTTCCACCACACTCAGCTGCGGGCACTGTCACGCCCCAATACGGCCTCCATTTCCCGCCTGCACTTGGCGCCCCGGTGCCGTCAGCGCGAGCTCGGCGCGCTCCCGTCAGGCTGCAGGTGCGGAGCTCGGAGCCCCCTGCAAGAGCGCGGCTACCCCGCCTCCACTCCAGCCGCCTCCGCACTTTCCCGTGACATCGCGGCCTGGGCGCGGGGTCAGCACGCGGGCCGCACGCGAGCTCCTGCAGCTCCACGCCCAGGTCCTGAGTGCCGGGCCCGCAGGCTGCAAGGGAGACGCCAGGAGCCGGGGGTAACCCCGCCTGGCTCCCGACCCCCCAGCCCTAGCCCATCCGGTGAAGGAGCCCAACATACCTGAGCCACCTCCAGCAGCCACGCCTGTGCACAGCAGACCCAGCCTTCGTGCCACTTCCGGTTCCGGCCTCTGTGCGAACAGCATCCTGGGAATTGTAGTTTTCGCCTGGTCGCTCCGCGTGGGAGAGGCCTCCAGGGACTTCAGTGCCCCACCTTGGCTATAGGGAGTTTCTTCCGCCGCGAATGTTGCTTCACGAACTCTGAGCCTGGGTTTCCCCGGGTTATATAGCGATTCCAATCTCAGCTGTCTCTCTGTCTCTCTCTCTTTTTTTCTTGTTTGGCTTTGGACCACACCTGGAGATGCTTCAGGGATTACTCCTGGCTTTGCACTCAGAAATTACTCCTGGTGGTGCTTGAGGGACCATATGGGATACCCGGGATTGAACACGGGTCGGTGGCGTGCAAAGGCATATGCCCTATCCGGTGTATAGCTCCACCTTCCTGCCTTCCACGCCCCTCCCCCCCTCCGCTTAATGCTGCTGTTAGGAACAACTTTGATTACCTTCAATACGTGAATATAGGGGCTGGAGCAATAGCACAGCGGTAATTCCATGAGCCAAAAAACAAAAAACAAAACAAAACAGCTGGATATGGGGGGGGCTGAAACCAGAATTAAATCATCCCACATCTTGCTGTCTGGGAGACCTGGCCCTCCCGTGCCCTCAAGAAAGGTCCATGAACGGACTCAGTCGTTTAAGCTCTTGGGAAGGCAACAAGTGAGTCTAATCTCTGGCCACTCTCTGGCATCCACCTTGCCTTCCATATACAGGGAAAAAGTGAGGCTCAGAGTCTCTGTCCCAATCTTACTCCAGTAAAACTCTCATCCACACAGATTCCCTCAGTCCTGGGATGCTCAACCTGTCAGAGGCCCCACCATGAATAAGCTGGAAATATCTACCACTCACTAAGACACAGCCCCCTTCTTTTTTGCTCAGCCCTGAGGGATCCCAGTTTATTCCTCCCCACCCCACCACCACACCCCCTAACTCCTAACCTTACTTCACACAACTTCCTCTCGTGGAGTTAGATACCAGAGCACAATTTAAATTCTGAAACCAAAATGTTTTCCCTCTCTCTCTCTAGCTGCTGACAGGCTTTTTCTAAAAACCCAGCCCCACCTACCTCTCTTCATTGTTCAGAAACTGGGCCTGGCTTGCAAAGGGCTGAAATGGTGTGCAGGCGTGCACACACACACACACACACACACACACACACACACACACACACACACACTGGCCCTACTGTTCTTTGCTACTTTTCTACAGAAACGAAAAGTAGCAAAACCCAAAAGCACCCTGTATTTGGATGCATTTTTGTTTTGTTTTCTTTAAGGGCCACATCTGTTGATGCTCAAGACTTACTCCTGTCTCTGTGCTCAGGTACCACATGCCAGGAAAGTGTCTTCCCCTGGACTCTCTCTGGCCCCTCTACCTGATGGAAGAGGTCACCTTCTCAAGGCCTTGCCTGGCTTCCCTTCTCTCACCCTTCCTCCAGCTTGCGTGTCTGAGCCCCATGACTTCCCGAAGTGCTTCAGATAAAGGTCTCTGCAGCTATGTTCCCTTTCCGGTCACATTTTCCACAGTTGGATCCTCTGAATACTCAGGCTTCTGCTAAAACATTTCCTCTTCGGAAGCCAGAGTGATAGTACAGCAGGTAGGGCATTTGCCTTGCAGGAGGGTGACCTGGGTTTGACCTCTGGCACCACATATGGTCCCCCAACACCGTTGGGAGTAATTCTTGAGTGCAGAGCCAAAAGTAACTCCTGAGCATCATTGGGTGTGCCCCCCCACCTACAACACCCCCACAAAAACATTATTCCTCTTCAGAGAGTCCTATACTGGCTCATCCAGTTCCTCTTGATTTTCTTTAAACTATCAGTGTCTTTCCTATTAACTGTTAAGCTACTCAAGAGAACCACACTGATCATATTTATGCTATATTCCCATGTTACTGCCCAGTTTGTTGACCAAAGAAGTGTTTTTTCCTCATTTTTTTACAGTCAAATCCTACTTTTTGCTGCATTTTGTGTTTTGTTTTTGGACCACACCTAGGGATGGTCAGGGGTCACTCTTGGCTCTTCTTTCGGGAATTACTCCTGGCAGGGCTTGGGGGACCATCTGGGGTGCCAGTGATTGAAGCCAGGTCAGCTGTGTGCAAGGCCAGTGCCCTACCTGCTGTACATCTCTCCAGCCCCTTAAATCCTACTTTCCTATCTCTCAAATGCAGGTCTGACACACACAGCAGAAACTCAGACCTTTTTGGTTTTTGTTTTGTACTAACTCTTCTCTCCCTCAACACATCTTCTAATGTATTAGTTTGAATCAGTGCTGCTCTCATCAAGAAACTTTCCTTCCAGCCCTCTCACCCAAAATAACTTCTCTTCTTTGACCTCTTAAAGCTCCAGATCTGTTCCCTATGACGGCCTTGATAGGGTAAACCAGAGGAAAGGTCCCTGAGAATAGGGAGGCTGGAATATACAACACAGATGCTAGTCTCAGGGTCAGAACCAGTTGTAAAGATGAGCCCATTTCTGCCTATCTAAATAACCTGAATCTAACCTCCGTGAAAAAACTAGCATCTGTCCACCTCACTAGAGAAGTACAAAAGGGGAGGGCAACTATTCCTGATGGGGGAGGGGTGGATGTGTGCTCTCAGTATGAGATTTCCTTCTTATTTGAGATTGCTAACCCCCAATTCTAGGGACTTAACAGGCTCAGCTCCTGCTTCAGCTGGGGGGTGGGTGAGGGGAGGACGGCGGTAGGGGAAGGGAAGAGGAATTAGGGGCACTACAAACCCCTCCTATCCTACTTGGGAGATTTCTTCCTGTCTTTCTTGCCCCTGCCTCCAAAAAATGCTTCACTGTGAGATCAGTCACGCCATGCCTTCTACTATCTCTGAAACTTCAGTGGCAATTACAAGAATTCACAACCCCTCACCCACCTGCCAGTGAAAGTTAGAGCACAGCACACCTTCCTTGACGGTTTCTAGCTCTGTGCATTATCAAAAGATCCTGATCTCAGGTCTAGACCAGGAGCTCTTGAAGATAAGATTTTCCAACAGTTATTTGCCTACATAATCTTGCATCAGGCATCATATGTCATAGATGCAGAAATGTTGAAAGAAATAAATAGTGCATGGGATGGTGGACTGATCGATTTCCAAAGACAGAAGTGTAAATGTCCAATGGTTTCTTAGTTATTAAACCACTAACCCTTGGGATCAGATAGTGGGTAAGGCACTTGGCTTAACGGTGCACAACCAGATTTGATATCTGACACCCCCTGTGTTCCCCAAAGCCTTTCCAGGAGTGATTCCTGAGTGGAAATCCAGGAGTAAGCCCTGAGCACCACCAGGCATGACCGCAAATCCCAACAAAACCCAAACTTAAAAGCAAACAGGCAAGCATAACTCTTGCCCGGTGTGGTGGGTGGACCTATTTCTTCTCATGAAAGGAGTGTGTACTTCAAAGAAAATGCTGAACAGGGCAAGTCCTCATTTGAGCTTTTCAACAAGCAGCGAGGGGGTTCCCAGACCTGCTGGGACTTAGTACTCCTCCTGGAACCACAGAGGAAAATATCAGCTCCATACCATAGTGACCCAAGGTAGTTAATGGCTTTGAGGGGAGAGAAATCAAAGAAAGAAGGAAACAGATGTTGGAGGGCATGTGATGGGGGCTTCAGTCTTCCATGATTATTGATTGACCACAATAATGCTGAACAACCTCTACTTTGAGGTGTTGTCATATTGATCAGAAAATAGGAAGAAGGGCCGGAGCGACAGGACAGAGGGAAGGAAGTTGGCCACATGCATTTCTCTTGCATGTGGCCAACTTGGCCTCAATCCCCAGCATCCCCTATGGTTGGTCCCTTGAGTCCTGCCAGAAGTGACTGTTGAGGCAGAACCAGGAATAAATCCCTGAGCACCAACGGATGTGACAGAAAGAAAACAGCAAGCTAGTCAGCACATAAGACCCTGGTTAAGTGGAGGTGACTAGCATTATGGCCCACTGGCATCCGGAACAGAAGTGCAGAGCAGAATCTTAGAACGCTGTTTTTCTCCCCTTTCCCCACTGTGCTTCCTTCTGACCTTCTTTCCCTCCTGTGGCCTCCTGTCCTACTGGTGGCTCCCTCATCTCATGTCCTGGTTCCCATTTATGTGATTTTCATGTGTGCCCTCCTCCCTGGAATATATGGTGAATATACTGTGAATATACTGTGCCCTGTGACCCCCTGTTGAGAAATGCTGCATTCTAACACAGGCAACTGCCCTGACTGAAGGCCTGAGCTCCTTCCCTACATGAGTAAAGGTTGTGTAGAGCTTGTGTTTCTGTAAATAAATGATGTGCCTCTTCATCTTTTTTCTACTAAAAATAAAATAGTCAAGTCCTTTTTAATACCACACATTTAAACAAAGTGTTGTTGCTATTGTTACTATTTTTCATTGCATGAAACAACTTCTGAGTTCAATCCCCAGCACCCCATGTGGTCCCTTGAGTCCTGCCAGGCGGGGGACTCAACAGGGGACTGAACAAGCTCTGTGCGGCCCCTACTTCAGCTGAGGGGAAGGGAAGAGGAATTAGGGGGCAGCACAGAAGGCGCACTGGAGAAGCAAGGGTGGGGGGGGGCCCTTGAATGAACTTGAGTAGTTCCAGGTATGTGTTTAAACCCTCTCAGCTCAGGGCTGGAGTGACAGGACAGCAGGTAGGACGTGTGCCTTACATGCAGCTGACCTGGGTTGCATCTCTGGCACTGCATATGGTCCCCCAAACCCCACCAGGAGAGATCCCTGAGCACGGAACCTGGAGTAAGCCCTGGGTACCACCAGTGAGTCTCTCCTCAAAATTAAAAAAAAAATGGTAATAAGATAAATAAACCCTTTTGAACATGGAAGCTGGCGAGAGGCATTTCAGGAGTATCTTGCTATCTGTTTTCCTGACATCTTGAAACAGAATGAAGGGAAGGGATCAGAGTATGAGAGACTTCCTTATACTTTGGGGGGGGGGGAGGAATTATTAACATGTGTATTTGGGGGGGGAATTATTAACATTGAGAAATTCCTAGACTTCTATGTAACAATGTGAGCAATATTTGTGTTTCCTATTTGCATAAGATAAATCTAAATCATTAGTGGCAGCACTGTAGCACTGTCCTACCACTGGTCATAGATTTGCTCAAGTGGGCATCAGTAACGTCTCCATTGTGAAACTTCTTGTTACTGTTTTTGGCATATCGAATACGCCATGGGTAGATTGCTAGGCTCTGCCGTGTGGGCGCGATACTCTCAGTAGCTTGCTGGGCTCTCTGAGATGGATGGAGGAATCAAACCTGGGTAGGCCGCGTGCAAGGCAAACACCCTACCCGCAATCATTAGTGGTTTTGTCTAAAATCCCACCAAGATGAACAAGGACTATCTGACTCAACCTTAATTAACCACAAAGATACTGAGTACATTTGTTTGTTTTCTTCAGCTACAGCTGGTGGTGCTCAGGCCTTCCTCGAATCTCTGCACTCAAAGATCACTCCTGGCAGGGGCCCAGGGCAAGCACCCAGCCTGCTGTACTATCTCTCCAGTCCCTCTGTATGTTTCTTTAACTCTATTTTTTTTTTTTTTTTTGCGTTTTGGGTCATACCTGGCGATGCTCAGGGGTTACTCCTGGCTCATGCATTCAGGAATTATTCCTGACGGTGCTCGGGGGACCATATGGGATGCTGGGAATCTAACCTGTGTCGGCCATGTTGGCTGCATGCAAGGCAAACGCCCTACCCGCTTTGCTATCGCTCCAACCCCCTGTTTCTTTAACTCTAATATTAGTCTTTACTTGCGGGGCAGTGGAGGGAGGCAGGGGGAGTTCTAAGAAATGCTCAGATCTTGGGGACCTTCCAGGTGATCTCGGACAACCAGGCCAGTGGCTCAATGTGAGGTCTGAGAACACGGTGCTGCTGAGGTCCTGCAGTGCAGGAACTCTTGGGGACACCCTGGTGGCGTTTGGGGGTCTCCATACTCAGATATGGTGATGCTTGGAGGCTTCCAGGGCTGCTCCCAGAGATGGTCGGGGGACCATGTAGAGTTGGGATCCAATCAAGGTTGGCTGCAGGCAAGGCGTGCACCTTAATTCCTGCACTCTGTCTCCAACTCCTGTTCTCACATTATTCTTTAAGGCTAATAAAACTCAAGGTTTTCATGTTCACCATTTAGGTATTTATGACTGAAGTGGGGTGCAAAAAATTCAGGTGTGCGGTGAATTTCAAATCCAGCAGCATACTCTGCAACCATGGGGGCATAATGCCACCTAGTGGCAATTTATGTTTATGACAGTGAGCAGCCAAGAGCAATAGGCAAAAGCTGGTGACCATAGTCTAGTGTAGGCCCTATCTCCAACTTTGGGAGATTACTGCCAAATTCACATGGTAAGTGAATTCAAAACCGCATACTTCCGGTGCCTCGCTCCTTTCGACCCTGCTTCCTTGAGATCATTTGTGCCTTCCTCTCGCTACTGCCCTCCTAATAGGGCTTCCCCGTGATTGGCAGCAATCTTAGCTGGAAGCCCCAAAGAGTTTGTGAGCATCCTGACCAGGGGCAGGGCTTGTCACTCCCCAGGTTACTCCTCTTGAGGGCCTAAGGTACTAGTGCGGACCAACGTAACTGAACTATGCCAGGACTCTGAAAGAAAGAGTGTACACCTCGCCCCCGGGCTGATGACTCGGTTGGACTGAGACCACGATGAAGCAGCAATTTATTTGAATACTAAGTAGTAAACATGTGAGGGCTGGAAGGGGAGGGTGATGGAAGAGGCTGGCTGGGGAAGAGTCTGGGGCATGGGTTTGGCTGGGAGGTCACAGGGCCGGGGATGCCCGGAACTTCTGGTTCAAACAGAAGACGGCGCCCGTGAGGGCTGTGCACTGGCGGGCCAGGAGCTTCACGCTCAGGTCCTGGTAGCCTCTCTCGCAGGTCATCTTAGCTGCCTCCACAAACTGGTGGTAGTTGTGGACCACGTCCCTCAGGTGGCTCGCCGCCTCCCGATGCCGGGCCGAGCAGCGGCTGCAGTCCGTGAGCTGCAGGCACAGGCCGGCCAGCTGGACTAGGTGCTGGAAGGTGTCGCGAAGTGCGCCCTGCATCTCATCGGGGGACTGGTCCATCCGGATCACGTGCTGGCAGCTGGACAGGAGCTTCTGGGAGCCCAGGCAGAGGCGGCTCCGGCTCTCGGAGAAGTGCCACATGCAATTCTCGGGAGGGTGTTGGTGGCTATTCGCCTCAGAAGCTTCTAAAATGTGCCGGAGCTCCTGCAAGCTGTCGGTGAGGTGGACGAAGCCCTCGTGGGTGCTGGCGGGCCTGGCCTGCAGCTGGCTCAGCGTCCTGGAGCAGTACTCGGGCCAGATGTGGCTGTTTCTGGGCAGGGGCTGGGATGGCCTCCAGGGGGGAGCCAGTGGGCTGCCCGCAGCGGGTGGCGCGGTGAGGGGGACTGTGGGGTGCGCCTCTGGGTCCCTCTCTTCCTCCTCCGGGTCGAGCTGCAGGCCCCGGAAGCACGTGGCATAGGACAACTGGCAGCTGCACTGTTCCAGCCCAGCCCGGGGGGCCGCCGACTCATTCATGCCCACAAAGCCCAGGGACGTGGCCACGCGGAGACCCGCAGAAATCTCCCGGGGGTCTTTAGCAGCAAAGCACAGGTAAGAATTCTCGGCAGGAAGGCAGGTGCCAGGGTTCTCTGGCCTCAGATAGGGCTGCGGACTCTCGGAGGGGGGCTGCTCGGGGGAATGTGGGAGTAACTTTGGCAAAGAAGGTCTCTGATTTGTGATCTGCAGGAGACTGTCCCCAGGTTGGGGGGCTTCCCCTCCCACGTGGTTTAGTGGCTCCATCTGGGCCCTCTCCACGGGAAGTTCTGGCACAGTGGTCTGGTCCCCGAGTAAGAAACCCGGATGGAGATCCAGCTCAGTCAATCGCTTTTGCTCTGGGGCCTCACCGGTGTGGCCTGGGGGTTCTCTGCCGAGTCTTTGGGGGCCCCCGGGGGAAGGCGGCGAGATTTGCTCAGTTCCTGCTCCAGGATGCTCCGAGGAGAGAGCGCCTGTCATGCCCCCCGCCGGGGTACTCACACCAAATGTCGGTGGCACCGCATCGGACACATTGCCCACCTCACCTGTGGGGTCACTCGGATCCTCCCCAGACCCATCCTCACCTACATGGGTGCCATTCGCATCTGCGGTGTCTCCGTCACTTCCCCCAAAGAGTGGCCCCCGTTTCTCATTGGTAGGGCCACAGGCCAGCTCCTCTCGTGCACCTGTTTCCTGTTCACCCCTTTCAGGACTGACGGGGGTAGACTCTGTGGTCGGGGGGGCAGCTTCTGGCATCTGATCTGTCAACGAAGATCTCAAAGCCGTTTCCAGGGGGACCTCTCCCTGCTCGGACCTGCTCCCTGCAGAGGTGGGGTTTGGCCCCGGACTGAGGACTGCGCAGACTCCATCTGGGTCTGGGTCAACACTAGAGAGAGAGGACGTGCTGTCCCCGAGCTCCGCAGCGAGTTCTGGGGTGACACAGACATCTGAGTGCTGACACAAGGCAGGTAAGGCTTGGACGAGCCCAGCCGGAGCAGCAGCAGGGCCTGGGGAACCGGCCCGGGAAGGGGGTGGGGTGCCTGCTGGGAAGGTGGGCACAGTGACAGCCAGAGGTGCAGCCGCCTCCTTCTCCCTATGGCTGGGGTCAATCCGGAGGCGAACGGCTGAGATGGAAGACACCCGCGAGTCTACCACCGATTTGGTCTCCATGGTCTCGGGCTCCATCTCCATGGCCCGGGAGGCGGGGTTTTTGCGCTCAGCCTCCCTCAGCGGGGCCAGCAGCCCCAGTGCCTTGGTCTCCAGGAGCCCGGGCTCCCCATGCATGTCCTGCAGAGAGGACACGGTTGGGGAGGGCGTGCCCAGGGCCAGGTAGGGCTCCCGCTCGTAGTAGCAGACATCGTCCACCGTCTCCAGGGACACGGATGGCAGCAGGGGGAATGACACCTGGCAGGTATAGTCTGTCTGCAGGAAGGACCTTCTTTTCCTCAGGCTCTTGGCATACTTCTTCCCTGCGCCCCTGCGGCTGGGCTCCCTCCCATCCGGCCCAGGCTGCAGGCTCTCCTCGGGGCAGACCTTCCTCTGCAAGCCGGCAGTGCTGGGCTCAGCGAGAGAAATAGTGCTGGACCCTGAGAATCAAGAAGTGGGAAAGTACATTAAAACACACACACACACACACACACACACACACACACACACACACAACGACACGCAGAGGCTTAACAGAACCGGTTCCCTGGGTTCGGATCCTGGTTGGGTTGTGTAGCCGGGGGTCAGTGAAGATCTCATCCCCCCAGTGGACTCAGCAGGAAGAGGCCCATAAAGGTGGGACTTATGGATTTGGGTGCTCAGAACCTCAACTTCCTTTCAGGGAACAGTGTTATCCTAACCAAGACTAGTTTTGTGGGGGCTGTTGAGGAAGGTGATCTGTTTATGCTACCCTGTTTATGTACAAGCAGAAAGATGTACGATGTGGGCACCATCAGCCATGGACTTTCACAATTTCAAACTCAAGCACATTGCTCAGAAACAAATTCTAGGCTTATTTTTTAATACTGGGGGTGTAGCTTAACTGTAGAGCATTTGCCTTGCAAATGAGAGGCCCAGGACTGAAGAAATGAAAACAAATTTATATTATATATAGTCACGGTCCTCCCATTGTTCATCGATTTACTTGAGCGGGCCCAGTAACGTCTCCTTCGTGAGACTTGTTGTTACTGTGTTTGGCATATCGAATACGTCACGGGTAGCTTGCCAGGCTCTCCGAGAGGGGCGGAGGAATCGAACTTGGGTCGGCCATGTTGGCTGTGATATTATATATAATATTATATTATACACACATATATGTATATATGTATATATGTATAAAGAGAGAGGAAGAGAGAGGGAGAGAAAGAGGGAGAGAGGAAAATGGAGAGGAGAGGTAGATGGAGAAAGGGGGAGAGAAAGAGAGAGAGGGAGAGAGAGAGGATCCCTGACTTCATTGTTGCTGTTGTTTGTTTGGTTTTTGTTTTGTGTCACACCCGGCAATGCTCAGGTGTTACTCCTGGCTCTGCACTCAGGAATCACTCCTGGCTGTGCTCAGCGGACCATATGGAATGCTGGGGATTGAACCCGGGTCGGTCACATGCAAGGCAAATGCCCTCCCTGCTGTACTGGCCTCCCTATTTTTTTTTTTTGAGGGAGCCAAGTCCAGTGGTATCCGGGGGCTAGTCCTGGCTCTGTGCTCAGGAGTCACCCCTGGTGGTGCTTGAGAAACCAAAGGAGATGGTGAGAGGGAGCTGTCATATTTAAACACTGGGGGGTGGGGTGGGGATGGGGAGAACAGCAGGCTTCAGAGCACCAGCACGGTGCTCGAGACCCGCTCTGGCAGTGCTCCAGGGGTCAAAGCCTGGTTTCTCACATCTCCCTGGTGCAGATTCTACCTCAGATGCCAAAGCCCCTTTGGGGACCACCTGCCAATCCAGCCCCCAGGCTCTTTGTGCTTCAAGGCCACATTTAACATGGGGGGGTCAGTTATGATTCCAACACTTCCCTCCGTGGAACAGTCTGTCTGACCCTCTCCTCCTCAATTCTGTCACCTGGCAAGGCCCCATCCACGTGCCCCTTCTTACAGGAAGCATTCCCTGATACCCTGGCATTGAATTTATGCTTATTCTGCTGCTACTGTTCCCTGCATCTCCCTGGCTGCCCAGGCTTGAGGTCGAGCACCTAGGTGATTTTTCCACTGAACCCACCAGGCAGTCCTCAAAGAGGAAAGGGTCTCTCCTCTGCCTCCCCCATCAAATGTGGTCCCTGCTTCCAGCGGGGGAGGGGGGAGGGGGGCTCAAGAGCTGCCCCACAAGCTGGAAGGATGGCTGGAATGGGGTGGGGGCCTCACCTGAGAGGGGGTCGGGTGGGGTGAGCTTGTCGGCAGCATCATAATACTCCTCATCCGAGCTGCCCTCCTCGAAGGCCAGCGGTAGGTGTGGGGCCAGGGCTCCCAGCGTGGACCTGGGCCGGGCCTCCACCCAACCCTGCTGAGCCCTGGCGGGGAGCCCGGAGCCCTGGCGAGAGGCCGCGCTGTCCGAGCTGTCACTCAGCTGGCTGGCGGGGGAGACGCTGGAGCACAGGCTGTAGTAGTCGCTCCGGCTGCCCTCGTACAGCTGGGGGTCCAGCCTGACCACGCTGAGCTCCGCACCCCAACCGAACATCTCAGGAGAGGACCCCTCGGGCAGCTCCCGCCGGGAGCGCTGGGGGCTGGTCCTCTGGGTCAGGTCCAGGAGGCAGAGGAAGCCGCTGGTGTCCAGCTGGCCTTGCTCCTCCGGGCCCTGGGGGTTCGTGTGGTCAGGGAAGCTTCTGGAGCTGAAGTGGAAGAAGCCGGAGCGGCTGGAGGAGCAGGCATCCAGGTCGTCCTCCTCCAGGGCGTCCATGGATTCGCTCGACCCGCTGGTCCGGCAGCCGCGGCTCTCGGTGTTGGCTGAGTCGGACGCCTCAGACTCGGCACTGTCGGTGGTGCTATTGGCCGCCGTGCTCGGGCGTCTCCTGGCCCCGTCGGGAGTGGCACTGTTCCCGGTGGGTGACAGCGTCCTGCACCGGCCCGGCTTCAGCAGGCGCCGGTCGGAGAGAGCGTCCAGCACGCAGTCCAGTTCCGAGGACTCCTCTGAGTCACTGCACGCCCGAGACTCGTAGCCTGCGATGCCGGGAACACAAAAAGCTGATGGGACAGTGTGTGGGGACCGCAGCCACTCGCCCCCCATCCCAGCTCTGGGACTCAGGACTCCAGGTTGTCACCCTAACACCAGTCTGTGAACCCCCTGAAGGAATCAGGATTCCCTCCCTCCCATTGCTGAAGATACTTTCTTTTGGGGAGGGGTGGGTTGGGCCACACCCAACAGCAGTGCTCAGGGCTTACTCCTGGCTCTGCTCTCAGAAATTACTCCTGGTGGGGACCAGGGGACTCTATGGGGTGCCAGGGATCAAATCCTGATGGGTCACTTGCAAGTCAGATGCTCTCCCTGCTGCACTTTCTCCCCAGTGCCCCCCTCCCCGCACCCCGCATCCTGCCCAAGACTTTCCATTCCTGGAACTGAGGTGGGTGTGCAGTGGGCAGCCTCCCCATTGCTGCTGAGTGCCTCAGTCAGCCCCATGTGCACAGAAAGACCAGAGAGGGAATAGCACAAAACCAAACAGAGCTGGTCCCTTTTCCTGATGGGCAAATCAACTCAGGTTGACTTCCTGGGGAGGTGATTCTGAGGCCGCTGCATGGGCGCTCACTCTGAAGCCTGGTGCAAGGGACCCTTGGGCGCTGCTGGACTTCATGAACAGGACCCTCATCCAACTGCAGGCACTGGGCGGGGGGAAGGGTTCCTGGCCAGAAAGCAGAAAATGTCGATCCAGGTTTCTCATCTCTCCCCCACCTTAGCTTCTGGAGCACACTCTTACAGTTCTCCTTGATCTGATCGGGACTTCCTGCCACTGTTGGCTTCCTCAGTACAGCGGGAAGAGGCTGCACTCAGGGCCAGGCTTCCCTGCTTGCGGGCCTGACCACTCTGGGCAGCCTTCCCAAGCTTCAGCCTTACACTGTGGCCTTCTCCCCAGGTTGCATGACCTGGCCCTTGTGACCTGCCTCCCAGGAGTCCCCTCTACGCTCGCCATTCTTCTTTGCTGAACTGCAGAAGCTTTCATGTAGATTGATTTCACTGAAGCAAAAGAGTTTTTATTAAAACTCATTTATAAAGATGTGAGGGGAGAGAGAAAAAAGTATGTGTTCGAGAGAGAACACAGGCTTCTCCAGGGGAGAAACTGGCATGCTAAGAAATGGAAGCAAGCAAGCTGAGATGTGTGTTCTAGTCCTTCAAGGTCTATTTCCCATGTTGACCACTGTCATCTTCCTGGCAGAAGCAGTGTCCCCTGGCCACCAGACCTCCCTGGCAGTGGGCTTTCCCTTTCCATGGCCTCTCTGTCCAGAAGGCCATGCATTCACACACTGGGCTAAAGACCAAGGTCACACATGCACTGAACCCCTTACTCCTGAGTGACTTAACTTGATCTCACTATCCCTGTGGAGAAGATACGATGTAATGGGGTGCCTTTTTTTTTTTTCACCATCTCCATGTTCAGTGATATCACACCAGAAGCCTGGTATTAGCCACGGGGAGAGTTCATACCATGGAACTAAACCATTGCTTCCAATCAGAAAGCAAAACTTTGTTTTGGTTTTGTCCTCAGCAGAGACAGTTGTAAAACATTGATCAGCAAACCAGTGGGAAAATGTGGCAGCTGTTGGGCTAAAACAAAGCTAGAGAGAAACTGAGAATTTTTTTTTTTTAAATCTTAATGGGCCTTTACACCTTCATTCCTTTGGGGGCAGGGTAGGTTAGGCCTTACCCAGCAGCACTCAGGGGCAGCATCTGGTTCTGTTCAGAGGTCACCATGTCCAGGGGGAATATATGTGGAGTTAGGGGTTGAACTGGGGTCTGCTGCATGCAAAGCAAAAGCTTTAACCCCTAGAATGTTTCTCTGACCCCCATTTCTTTCCTGGTATGATTTTAAGTTTCTTCTATCTCCAAGCATCCCCTTCTTGTGAACATGTAAGACTGATATTTCTGTTAGAATTCAGGAGCATGCCAAGTTGTGACTAGGTGTCGAATGGGAAGCCACGACATTGTTACTTTCTGGACAAACAAGTGATGTTTCTTTTTTGCTGACAAAACCAGAATACAGCAGGAGATCAAAGAGATGATCTTTGGAAACAGAACAAGGAATCAGAGACCTGTACCGATATTCCTTGGCTTTAGGAGACTGTCAAGTAGCAGGAAAGCTCCTCTTAGCTTCCAGAAAGACCAAATGTTTAGCAGGAAGTAGATGAAGAAACAGCTGTCACGCACTTAAGTCAACATCTCAACTCCATTCAATCCTATGCCTCCCTTTAGACGTCCCAACCGAAGGAGCCAGGGAAACAGGCCTGTTCTTCCTGGGGGGTGGGCGAGTTCGAGAGCCAGGGCCTCACCTTCTTCAGCAGATACCCGGTGCACTTGTTGTTTGTTTCCAGGCCAGAGGAAAATGGTGGTGACTGGGTCAACAAACAGCCTGTAGTAGCCGGCAATCAGGCAGGCCAGGTCCTTTGCACTGTTGCACTCCAGCAGCAAGGAGAGAACCTTGGGAGGCAACGAGAGCTCTTAGCTTATGAAGGGCGAAGGGAGAGTCTGAGATGGGTGAGGAGCCACGATGGGGCCACTGGTAGGTTTCCAAGCAGGTCCAGTCATGGTTCCTAGACAGGACCCCCATCCTTTCACCACTAAGACGTGAAATGAATTCTCACATGTACGCTTATAGTTGCATGCAGTAGGCTCCTCCCATCCCATCTCTACAAAGGCCTCCTGACTCTGACCTTCTTCCACTCCAACCTCCTCAGGTGATGCTGTTTATCCAGACACTGAGCCCTTTCAAAACTGAGTGAAGAAGGGAAAGGATGATAGGAAGCAATGAGGCACTACCGTGGCTTATGTTGAGATCGAGGCAAAGAAAGGCAGGATAAATGCGAGACCTTTCAGATGACTCAAAGGGTCCTGCATCGTTTACCCATTCTAACTGCTGCCACTCAAAACTCTTGGGCAGCCACTCTGGTCTCACACACATGACAGAACTAAAGACACCTAGCACAGCGGGTAGGGCGTTTGCCTTGCATGCAGCCGACCAGAATTCGATTCCTATGTCCCTCTCGGTGAGCCTGGCAGGCTTGCGAGAGTATCCTGCCCGTAAAGCAGAGCCTGGCAAGCTCCCCGTGGTGTATATGACATACCAAAAACAGTAACAAGTCTCACAATGGAGACGTTACTGGTGCCTGCTCGAGCAAATCGATGAACAAGGGGAAGACAGTGCTACAGACAGAGCTACTACAGTCTTTAATACTAAGAAAACAGTATTCTTGAGTGCTCCCTGCTAAGTTTCTGACCCCCTGTTGTCAGACTATAGGCTCTAGCTCAGTTTACAACAAACAAAAGCTCTGAGGAATATGCAGCCTGTTTACTACTCCCTTTGATAGAAAAAAGATGGAGGATTCATGCTTTTAAGCAAAAAATTGGACATTAGACATCAGATCCAAACCCATATAAAGTGCCCTGGAAATAATTTAGCCCCTAATTCCAGAAGCTGGATTTCCCCAGCGTTACCTTGACGTCTTGGAGATACACTTTGACCATGCTCACTTTCTCCGACTCCTCTGTCAGCTCCACTCGGCTGATGCTCGCAAACTCCGCCAGCGTGGACATGATGTTGAGTTTGCTATTGATAATTTGACTAATCCCATACTTGGCTCCCACTAGAAGGGCGATGTAAGACTCTCTATCCTGTAACTGCAAAAGAGTGTGAGAGGAATTTGTCTCTGTAAGCCTGTAAGAGTAGGTGCCCATGTGAGATATGAAGTTTTTCTCTGCAAACCTGGATTCTGACTTCATGTTCTCACTCCCACTTTCCTAGAGAGAGACTCTATGCACAGCTGACTTGAGTACGACTTTATCTCACCTAACTTCACAATAGGGCCAGAGAGGGAGTGCAGAAGTTAAGGCACTTGCTCTGCATGTGGCGGATCTTGGTTCAATCCCTGGCACCATACATGATCCCTGAGCACCTCCAGGGTTCACTCCTGAGCCCAACGTCAGGAATAATCCTGGAGCATCGTGGATGTGGCCCAACTTTTATTTGAGGCCCCCCGCTCAAATTAAAATAATGTTTTGTTTTGTTTTTGGGCACCACACCTGGCTAGGCTCAGGGCTTACTTCTGGCTCTGCATTCAGGGATCACTCCTGGTGGGCTTGGGGTACTCTGTGGGGTGCTGGGTATTGAACACAATCAGCCACACGCAAGGCAAGCACCTTACCCACTGTACTCCAGCCCTTCAAAAGGAAGTAATTCCTTTTTTTTATAGAAAGATCTGTTTTGATAGATAGGCAAACCACAGGATGGTAATCTGTCCCACAGATAATCTGTCTTTCACAGCCATGCATTTTTCACACATGTCCCACACACCCCAGTCCTGGTATTTCTTCCTTGCCATCAATACCATGGAAATTGTGACCTTTCTCTAATGAAGTTCATTTTCATTAAGCCAACCACCTGCAGGAAGCTTCCGATTGATCTCTGCTCTTCCATTCAGAACAGTCTTCCCGTACCACATTTTCTGTACTTTGTGGGCAGGACTGAACTATGACATTTATATTATTGCACTTATCTGCATTTGAGTCTCATATTCATGTTAAACTTCCTGATGACAGGGTCAGTTTTAACCTGTATTGGCACCTCCCTGTGCACCACCAGCACCCTGGGCCCATTCACTATGGTTGGCTTCTTCTCCCACTCTCAGCTCTTTCCTGATGTAGAAAATTAACAGGGTCTGGAGCCAGGCTAGGAACAGTGGAAGCACTGGCCCTTGGAAAAATTGGAAAAGTTTTTCTTGTACATTTTTTAATTTGTTTGTTTCTGGGTCGCTCCCTACAATGCTCAGGGGTTACTCCTGGCTTCTGGCTCTGCATTCAGGAAATTACTGCTTGTGGGACTTGGGGGACCCTATGGGATGCCGGGGATCAAACCTAGGTCGCCCGCATGCAAGACAAGTGCCCTAACCTCTGTACTATCTCTCCAGCCCCTTCTTGTATTTTTATGTCTTCCTGTGATCTAGTCTCGTTCCCCTTGAGGCAGCCTTCCTTCCACCAGAGAGATCTCTGAGTTCATAGCCAGGAGTGAATCCTGAGCACTAATGGGTGTGGCCTCCAAAGTAATAGCAACATAATAGCAAAATAATAGCAACAATAATAACCTCCAATTTGTCTACTGTCAGGTTTTGTGCTTATGTGTTCTGGGAATGAATATGAGGGGAGAGGCCCTAAGCCAACTCCTCCTTCATCCCACCTTCTTCCCTAACTGCCAAGGAAATGATATAACTAGACTGACTCGCCCAGATCAAAACCAGAGGGGGGTGAGTAAGAGCACAGAGGGCTTCTCCTCTGCTTCTCTTTGGCCTTCTCAGCATCCCCACCCCCATCCCAACACTGCTCAAGACCTCCCCTTATTCTGAACAGGCAGAGCCTCTGACAGTCAAGATGACATTATTTTCTTTCTTTCAGAATTTCTCAGTTTTTCTCTTCCCCTTTAAATGCTCCAGGGTTGACAGCCTCCTCTCTCAGAATACCTGTTCTCTGCTGGAAAATCTGGTCAGACTCAACCTTCATGTCTTACCTGATGCCCTTCTCCTGCCTTCTCTTCCCCTGAAGCCAGCAATGTTCACCTCAGACTCCATACAACAGCCCTGCGCTTCTCTCCTGACTGCCTTGTCTTGATGGGAACCTCATACCATCATTCAATGGGGGAAATCATGTCTTATTCAGCTCTGTCCCTCCATACCCCGGTTTCTATCATGCAGTAGAATGATAAACATTCCCCAGTGATATTATATTTAGTTTCCCCAGCCAATTCTCAATACAAGACAGAGTTCTCTGAAATGTGAGCATAAAAGATGTACCGCTCTTCAGAAAAAAATACTTATAAGAAAAGGATGATCCAGTTCTCTTACACGTACCATTAAAGTAGCATTGAAGATTTTACCACCATACGTTTTGAGTTCCCCAAGGATCTGTAAATAGTTCAAACGTAGCTGGGCAGCAGAAATCAGTTGCTTCAAAAGGGGGAAAAAAAAAAAAAGAAAAGAAAAGAAGGTCAGAGTTGTTCACTTAAAACCCAGAAGATGTCAAAATTCTCCCTCCGGTTTTTACAAGAGAAACTTAATGTCCTACTGGGAGCATGGGAGGGCCCAGGGACACACACCTTCTGTCGGGGCTCCAAGAGATTCTGGTTCCTCTTCATGTGGAAGCTGATGGCTTTCTTGATGTCTTTGCCCTTCATGTTTCGGAGTAAAGTCGGAGATATAAAGTTCTCGATTCCCCAATCTTTCCTGCCACGAGACATTGGGGACAAGGAGGCCCAGTTTTAGAGGATTTGGCTCAAGTGAAGAGCAAATTGATTCAGTGCTTCGTATGCCTGGAGAACTGCAAATATGAACCTTTTTCTAAGTACATGGTTTAAAAAATAAATAAGGGGGCAGGGAGGAGGTAGCTCCAAGAGTCACCCTGCATGGGTTCTGAGTTCTATCCCTGAGCAGTCCAATTCCTCTAAGTACTGCTGACTAGGACCCCTGAGCTCTGGGCATCCCCAAATAGATGAAGAGGTTTTGAGGAGTGTGTAAATAAATGTACAGACACACATACCTCCTTCAGGAACTTTAGCCCATAATCACACTGCACATGGCACATGCTTCCTACAGTATCATAGTGCCTGTGATCTCTCCTGGCTGCACCATGGAGCTGGCCAGAAGCCTCAAACTCCCCCAGTAAACTTGTTAAAAAATACAGATTCTCACGAACAGTTCTGTAATGCTCTATCTCACAGTGATTCAATAAAAAAAGTAAATAAAAATGAAAAAAACAACAACAACAAACAAACCAACAAAATACAGGTTCTCAAGACCCATTCTTCAGCTACTTGACTATATATCAGGACAAGTGTCAAGGATTTATTTTTATTTAATATTATTATTTTGATGGTTTTCAGGGGGCACTGCTTGGGGGGGGGGGAGGAAGGGCACCCAAGTCCACCAGGAGGTACTGGGAAAATATGCAGTGCCAGGGGTCAAACCCAGGGCTTTACACAGGCCAAGCATCAGCTCTATGGAGTAAGCCATACCTCTGACCTCATTTTATTTTTAATGTGTTTTGTGTGGGGTAAGTTTCTGGGCACTACTTCAAACGCAGGACTCAGGGGATGTTCGTGGAGGTACTCTAGGGGCCAGACAGTGTTGAGGGCTGAACCGGGGCCTTCTGCATTCAGCCCATTGAGCTCCCTCCAGTACCCCTTCCTTCCTTCCTTCCTTCCTTCCTTCCTTCCTTCCTTCCTTCCTTCCTTTCCTTCTTCCTTCCCTCCCTCCCTCCCTCCCTCCCTCCCTCCCTCCCTCCCTCCCTCCCTCCCTTCCTTCAGTTTTTGTTTTTGGGCCATATCCAGCAATGGGTAGGGGTTACTCCTGCCTCTACTCCTGTATCTGTACTCAGGAATTATTCCTGACAGTACTTGGGGACCATAAAAGAAGCCAGGGATTGCACTCAGATTGGCCACATGCAAGGCAAGCGGCCTATCTGCTGTACTATCGCTCCAGTCCTCCCACCCCCACCTAAACAGGGCTGTGATAGGGTTTTTTTTTTTCTTTTTGGGTTACACCTGGTGATACACAGGGGTTACTCCTGGCTCTGCACTCAGGAATTATTCCTGGCGGTGCTCAGGGGACCATATGGGATGCTGGGAATTGAACCTGGGTAGGCTGCGTGCAAGGCAAATGCCCTACTCGCTGTGCTATCACTCCAGCCCCAGGGCTGTGATGTTTTAACTTTTTATTTTATATTTTAGTTTAGTTTGGGGGCCACACCTGGTGGTGCTCAGGACTTGCTCCTTGCTCTGCACTCAGGGATCATTCCTGTTGGGCTTGGGGGGCCATATGGGATGCTTTAACTTAGTTCTATCCTCCTCACATGAGGAGTTCCTTTTCCTTTTCTACTTTCCAATAAACTTTTCTACCTTCCAACTCTGAATCTGAGCTTCGTTATTACTCCATATTTTCATTCTTGAAAATACTGCAGAGCCTGGGAATTGTGGACGGACAGAGACCTGCTATCACCTCTCTTGCTTCAACCCTGACTCAAACCCCCTACTACGTGGACGTCTATTGCTCACCTCGAGCTTTGTGTGAGGTTCAGCCTGTTGCCAATCCTTGAATGAACTACTGATTCTTACCTCAGTAGCAGTCCTCCTTCTCATTCATCTAGTAAGAGACAGGCCCCAAACTTAGCTACTCCCGCACACCAGTTACAATACCTCCCAGAGCAAAGTGCCATTTTCAGCCAAGAATCAGAAAGTGCCAGAATCCCAGGACCAAAAACTGTCTTGGTAAGAATAGAATCAGTACAAATTGGCTCGCCCCACACCCTCCCCTTAGGGGTAGTTCATTTCCAAGGCCTTCCTGTCCTTAGAAGAACTCTGGAATGAAGCTGTCAACCGATTTCCCAGGACATCCTCCCAGGAGCTGGGACTTTACAAAAGGAGCCTGTCCTTCCATCTGGAGTTGGCATCTGCCCTGGAGGGAGCAGCTGGGTCCAGGGCCAGGTTCTCAGGGAGCCAGGCTGGGTGGGAGAGGGTGGGGAGGGAAAGGGACAGGAAGACGAACAGATGGGCAAAGGGGGGGTTGACTCAGTCGTCTTGGCCAGGGGCCAGCCAAGTTGTGAATGCCACACAGCTGCTGTGAGTGGGACCCCCCCATCCTAACCCCCTAGAATCCCGCCACTCACTCTATGTACTTCAGAGAGATCTTCTGGGGCTGGGCACATGCATAGATCCGCTCCTGGATGTGCAAGGCTGCCAGGCGGAGTGCGGAGCTGCATTTCATTTCCACAGCAAAGCGCTCCTGGAGCACATCACTGCAGCTCTGCGGGAGAGGAAGGAGATGAGCTGCCTGTCCTGGTTCTCCCCCAGGGGACCGGCAGTCAGCCCAGCACTCGGGGCTGGGAACTGGCTTTGCCGACTCATGGCTAAGTAGCCTTGGTAACCTTACGAAGACCCCCTGACCACTGCTACCCTCCCCCTGCTGAGTGAGGACAGTCAGTCCCACTAGGCAGAGTTTCCCGGAGATTTAGATCAGACAATGCAGATAAAAGCAGGTGTGGGGCAGAGGCAGTCATGCAAAGTCAAAGCAATGTTCTTCTTGTTATTTGCTAATGTGATAACTGTTAAGACTTGGGGCAAGGCAACCCACCATGTTTGTGTTCTCTCGACTATAAAATGCTTGTGTTTTGCAATGGAATACTATGCAGCTGTTAGGAGAGATGAAGTCGTGAAATTTGTTTATAAGTGGATGGACATGGAGAGTATTATGCTAAGTGAAATGAGTCAGAAAGAGAGGGACAGACATAGAAGGACTGCACTCATTTGTGAAATATAAAATAACATGAGACTGACACCCAAGGACAGTGGACACAAGGGCCGGGAAGACTGCCCCATAGTTGGAAGCCTATCTCATGAGCTGGGGGAGAAGGCAGCTGGAATAGAGAAGGGACCACTAAGACAATGATGGTTGGAGGAATCCTTCAGGATGGGAGATGTGTGCTGAAAGTAGATAAAGGACCAAACATGATAACCTCTCAGTATCTGTATTGCAAAGCATAATGCCCCAAAGTAGAGAGAGTATGGGGAAAATTGTTTGCCATGGAGGCAGGGGGAAGGCTGGAAAGGGGAAGTATATTGGGGACATTGGTGGTAGAGAAAGCACTGGTGGAGGGATGGGTGTTTGATCATTGTATGATTGAAACTCAAACATGGAAGCTTGTAACTGTGTCTCATGGTGATTCAATAAAAAAAAAAATGCCCGTCTTTTGGTTCCAGAGATCAAACCCAGGACCTCAAATGTGCAAAGCACATGCTCTACCAGCCTCTAACATGGCTCTTTTGCCTCAGAGTACAGATGACATCATTAATCTCACCTAAGTAGTAGTGTTGAAGGAGCACCAGCCTAGGGTACAAAGAACCCCATTTTAGCTCAACCACAGTAAAATGGGCCACCCAGGCAAACCACATGACTTTCCTAAGTCTCGGTTTTAAAACCGCTAAAGCATCTGCTGAAGTACCAGGCCTCTCTTTGAACAATGCCACGAGTCTTCGTCCTCTACGTGGAGGATTAAGCCTGCATTTCAGCAGCATATTGCAAATCTCCTATCCTAGCAACTCAGTGACGAACAAGGGAACCATGGGGGGCTCCTCGGGCCCCTTCTCCTGAGAAAGAGCACCTCCAGCTCTGAGCTGCTCTGCTGACTTAAGCTCAAGTTCACAACCGAGGCTGTAGCAGCTGTGAGGAGAGCTTCCCTGGCTGTCTCAGGCAGTGTGGACTCGGTCACCTGCAGGTAGAGGTATTCAAAGGCCACGGGGTCTTCTTTCAGAAGGTCCAGCGGGTCCTTGGGAACAAAGCACACCCTGAAGAGGCAGCGGTAGTCATGTGACTCCTCCCTTTCTACCACCTGCAACAAGAGAAGAGCCCGTTAATCTCATTGCCTTTGCCTCTGCAGTTGTATTCCAAACACAACTTAAAAAAATAAAAAAAGACAAGATATTTCCATTTTAATTTTTTTCTTTTTTGAGTAACATCCAGCAATGCTCAGGGGTTAGTCCTAGCTCTGCACTCAGGAATTATTCTTGGCTGTTCTCAGGGGATCATAGGGGATGACAGGGATCAAACCTGGGTTGACCATGTACAAGGCAAATGCCCTACCCACTGTACTATGGCTCCAGCCCCTGATTTCCATTTTTCTTGCTTCCAGGATAGCCATCAACTTTTGCTTAGACTCTTTTTTCCATGCATATACAAGTAAAGGCACAAAAATGCAAAGTTTTTGGGCTGGAGAGATAGCACAGTGGGTAGGGCGTGTGCCTTGCAAGTGGCTGACCTGGGTTCGATTCCCAGCATCCCTTATGGTCCCCTGAGCACCGCCAGGGGTAATCCCTGAGTGCAGAGCCAGGAGTAACCCCTGTGCATCGACGGGTGTGACCCAAAAAGCAAACAAAACAAAACAAAACAAAACAAACAAACAAAAAAAAACAAAGTTTCCCACTGAATGCTGCTTCCTGGTTTGTTTGTTCATTAGTTTGTATCTCGGTGCCACACCCAGCCATGCTGTATGTTGGGAACAAACCCAGCACTCAAGCAAGGCAAGTGCCTTAAGACTCTGCTCTATCTCTCCAACCCTGATCTCTGCTTCTCAAACACCCTTACAGAGCCTGTCCACCGACATCCAGCTTCTGTCAGGTCTGTTCTTCCCCAAATGGAATACAGCCAGTCTGCACCTCACTCCACCTCACCTCCCACTTAACTCTCTTAGAAATATTTTTTTTCAATTTTCCAGTACTTGTGAAATAAAAATGATCTTACTGCTTTATTTTGTTTGGGATGGTGGTGTGGAAGTCAAGTCCTGGGCTTCATTCATACATGGGAAGCAAGTGCACCTCCCTGGCCCCAATATAGAAGGGACTGGGGGTGGGGGGATGGGTAAACAATTTACCAGTGGGGTTAGAAGGTGCATGATTAGAGTAAGAAGTCATCTGCAGGGGCTGGAGAGACAGTAGCGGGGTTAAGGCACTTGCTGTGTGTGTGTGTGGTGGCTGCTCTTGGCTTGATTCCACATATGGTCCCCTGAGCAGAGCCAGGAGTGGTCCCTGAGCATCAGCAGGTGTGTGGCTCCCCACCTAACTACCCACCCCCCAAAATTCATCAGTGACTGCTGAGTAGTTTCATGATGCTCACCTATGGTGTTCTCTAGCTTAAAAAAAAAAAAAGCTCTTCTCTGAGGGGCTGGGGCGATAGCAGGATAGCAGGTAAAGTGCTTGTCTCGCACACAGCTGACCTGGATCAATTCCCAGTACCACATCTGATCCTCCAAGCACCACCAGGAGGATCCCTGAATGCAGAGTCAGGAGCAAGCCCTGAGCATAGCCAGGTGACCCCAAAATAACCCCCCCCCCATAAAAGCTCTTCTCTATTGGTTCTTATTTTGTTCCTTTTTTTTTTTTTTTTTTTTTTTGCTTTTTGGGTCACACCTGGCGATGCACAGGGGTTACTCCTGGCTCTGCACTCAGGAGTTTCTCCTGGCGGTGCTCAAGGGACCATATGGGATGCTGGGAATAGAACCCGGGTTGGCTGCATGCAAGGCAAACGCCCTACCCCCTGTGCTATCTCTCCAGCCCCCTTATTTTGTTCTGGGTTTTTTTTTTTTTGCCACATCTGATAGTGCTCGGGGGACCATATGGGATGCTGGGGATCAAACTTTGGTTGGCCACATGTGAGGCAAACACCCGACCCTGGTTTTTGAGACGTACTCCTCTTTGTCTTTGTTATTGTTAGTTGTGAGGGACACACTTGGTGGTGCTCCAGGACCCAAGGCCACTCTCCTATTGCTCAGGGTTGCCAAGGTGAGACCATGGGGCAGGACATGCTGTTCTGGGAACTGAACCCATGCCTCTGCCACTTGGGCCACATTCTGATAGCACACACTCAACCAGGATGGGCTGAACCCATCTGTGCTTGGCTTTTAAAGGGTGAGCCAGGGCTGGAGCAGTAACTCAAAGGTGTAGAATACAAGCCTGGCCTGAAGAGGCCCTGGATGGACCGCTGGTGCTGCATGGTTCCCTGAGCACTGCTGGGTGCTGGTCATCCCCAACTCTCGGACTGAGCAGCAGCCAGTGCTGGGCCTGAGTACTTCAGGATGGCACAGTCAGGCCTGGGCTCCCAGGAGTGGCTCCCTGTGCCCCTGAGCACTGCTTGGGAGGCCCCTAAGAAAAAACAAGCTCCAGGAGAATTGGTCCACAGCTTGGAAGCTGGTCTCACATACTGGGGGAAAAGGCAGCTGGGGATAGAGAAGGTACCACTAAGTGAATGATGTTTGAAGGGCTCGCTCGTGATGGAAGATCTGTGCTGAAAGTAGACTATAGACCAAAAATGATGGCCACTTACTACCTGCATTGCAAACCGTAACACCCCAAAGGAGAGAGAGAGAGTAAAAGGGAATGTGCCTGCCACAGAGGTAGTGGGGGGGATGGGGATGGGAGGCAGGAGGGATACTGGGAACATTGGTGGTGGAGAATGGGCAGTGGTGGAGGAATGGGTACTCGAACACTGTATGACTGAAACATGATCACAAAAGTACATAAGTCTGGAAAGAAAGAAAGAAAGAAAGAAAGAAAGAAAGAAAGAAAGAAAGAAAGAAAGGAAGGAAGGAAGGAAGGGAGAAAGAAGAAAGAAAGATAGAAAGGAAGGAAGGAAGGAAGAAAAAAGAAAGAAGAAAGAAAGAAAGAAAGAAAGAAAGAAAGAAAGAAAGAAAGAAAGAAAATAACGAGCTAACTCAACACAAACCATATCATGAGTGTCCGCAGGATTCAATGATGCACATGGACATATTGGGGGGCAGGAGAGGGGCATCCTGACCCTAGGAATCAGCTCAGGAAGGATGTAGACACCGCAGAAAAAGCCCCACTAACATCTCCAAGGCAGCAAGTTCAGGAGGAAGGTCATCAAGGTCAAAGTGAAGACACTGGTGGTGGGAAAGGTATATCTGCCCCTTGAGGAGCTCCTGCAAATCAGATCAGTGTCCCAGCAAGCCCCAGGCCGGGTGATGCTGAGCCTTTGCAGTGGGGTGGGAGAGAAGCATCGCAACCCCGCAGCCGGGCGACGGTCCCCCACCTGCTGGATGAGCTCCTCCTCGTGCAGCAGGTGTAGGCGGGAGATGTTGTACTGCTCCTCCAGCACCAGCGCGAAGTAGTCGGTGCTGCGGATGGAGAGCTTCTCCTTCACGGTGAGGATGATGTCCTGGTGGGCGGGTGCGGCAGAGGGGGTGAGGCGAGCAGCCAAGCAAAGAGGAGGGCTCGTCTCCCTGGGCAGCCGGCGGACAAGCACCTCTGCAGACTGAGTCCCCCGCCCCCCAATGCCCCAAGTCTAACAGCTGCACCCTGACAGGGCGGGGTGGGATTTAGCCAGGGCCCGCAGCACCCTGTACCCACCACTCCCCACACGTCAGGGCTCCAGTAACTCCCAGACAACCCCTCTTTCTCTCTCTTGCTTTACTCTAAAGGCCAGGTGGAAGCCTTTTGGGGTGGGGGTGAGGGGCTCATGTCTCTCCACAAGGTCTCTGGATTCATCCCCCTGCCCCCCGGATGCTGCATCTTCTATCGCTGAACAAAGAGGATCCCACTCCCATGTGCGATGCATCCATGGGAAAATCACTCAGACTTTCCCGAACCTTGGGCAATAAGTCAGAGGAAGGGCTTCTTCATGAGCAGCTGATGGGAGGGGATGAGAGGCCCTCCAGTTTCCATGTAGCATCTATTGGACCTTCTGCTTGAGACCCTCTTCTTGGTGGTGGTGGGTGGGGGGAACACACACACTGTGAGTGCTCAGGCATCACTTCCTGTGGTACTGGGTTGAGGGAACATGGGGTGCTGGATATGGAGCCTAGGCTTCCAGCATGCAAAGCCTGTGCTCAGCCCCCTACACAGACTCACAGTCCCACAGACTCACAATACCTTCTCCTTCCCCTCTCAATAGCCCTCACTTTGCCTGCCTTGATTGCCCTGATCTATCAGGAGCTCTGCGGGTGTCAGGGATGCTTCTGGAAGATAAGGACCACCTTCTTCCCTAGCTCTATACTCTTCCCCCCTTGAATATCTCATAGCTCATAGCTTGTAAATGCAAGCTAGACTAATTCAGCCCAGATAAGACCAGGCAGAGGGCTGGGCTTTTCCTGACACCATTTGTGGGTTGTTGGCTGCTAGGGTCTTTGGGGGAACAGATGTCACCAAGGAGAGGCAGGGAAGACCAGCGCTCAAGAATTTAGAAGATGCAATAGGACCTTAAGTATGTTAGCTCTCCAAGCACCCATTTCCTCCTTGAAAGAGGGAAAAGGTCTCCGGGGTCGTGCAATTCAATGGGCTCAATGAGATTCCCCAGGAAGAGCTGCAGGGCACACAGTGTTCTGAAAGGCAGCATGTTCTCAGTGGGAAAGAGAAGGAAGTAGACTCCTCATACCTTTACTGTTGTGTTCGGCTCAAACTTAAAAGCTTTGGTCTGTCCATTCTCCAGGTACAGCTTGAGCACGTTGGGCATACACAGCAGAGAATTACCCTGGAAACAAAGGGGAGTGTTGAAACTGGCCACACTGTGAGGGGAGTAAGATGCTCTGTGCATCCAGTCATCTCAGCTATCACCTTGAGCCTGCGGGATCTCACTCTTGGGGGGCCTTTTGGGAAGGAAGCACAGGACTGGTCTAAGCTTGGTCAGCATCCCAGGGGTGGAGCTGAACAGGGGAATGACTTCCTTTGGAGAATCTGGGTCCCGGCACCAGATCTCAAAAAGACGCTCTGAGTACTTAACTGTGAATAAAAGAGACCCTTCAGTCAGGAAGACTGCTTCATGGTTGGAATCCTGCCTTATAAGCTGGGGTGGAAGGCAGCTGGTACAGAGAAGGGATCATTGAGTCAACGATGGTTGGAGGGATCGCTTGGGATGGGAGATGTGTGCTAGAAGGAGATAAACGAGCAAACACGATGGCCTCTCAGTACCTATATTGCAAACCACAATACCCAAAGTAGAGAGAGAGTAAACAGGAAATTGTCTGCTATAGAGGCAGGGGGAGAGGTGGGATAGGGCCGGGGGAGGGATACTAGAGACATTGGTGGTGGAAAATGCACACTGGTGGAAGGATGGGTGTTCAATCGGTGTATGACTGAAACTCAAACGTGAAAGTTTTGTAATTGTAGCTCACAGTGATTCAATTTAAAAAAAATTCTTTTAGCTACTCAGTGGCTGAATAAATAGTACTCCTACATAAAAAATAAAAAATTTAAAGGCCTTGGGGCCAGTTTCTCCCAGACCGTGTGAGAGGTTAGGTTACAGAACAGTACAACCTCCAGTTAGGGAGGTGGTTGGGGGGTGGGACAAATGGGGTGGAGGGGTGGAGGGGGGTGGTGTAGGTGTGAAAGTGTTGAAAACTGCTGTTCAAGGGGATTTCAAGATGAATTGTCCCTGACATGAAACTCCTTTTCTGTTTTTGGTCAAATTGGGAAATGCTCAGAACTTACTCCTGGCTCTGTGTTCAGGGATCACATCTGGTGGGCTTAGGGGACCATGTGAGGTGGCAGGGATCAAACCCAGGTTAACTGAGTGAAAAAGCAAATGCCTTACTCACTGTATAATCTCTCCAGCTCCAATGAAACTCTTAAGAGTTTGGGGATAATAAAGCTCAAGGCGTAGGTTTTAAACTATCTGGGGCAGGAAACTTTAGGGGGCAGGAAACCAAAACAAAACAAAAATGCCGAACAAATAAAAAAAAAGAAAGAAATTTAACTTAAAAAAATAACCAACCAAAACAGATGGTCTTTCTCAGGTAAGACCCTTGCTTAATGTAGGGGCTTTAGAAAGAAGGAGAAGAAGGAGGACTTGGGAATGAGCTGGATTGACAATAACATAATGACATTAGAAAAGGGCCTTGGACATTTCAGTAGTAACCAGGTACATCAAAACCGTAAGAGTCAGGAGCAATAGTACAGTGGGTAGGGTGCTTGCCTTGCACACATCCAACCCAGGTTCAGTCCAAAGCATCCCATATGGTCCCTGAGCACAGTCAGGAGGAATTCTTGGGCAGAGCCAGGAGTAACTCTTGAGCATTGCCAGATGTGGCCCCCAAACCAAAAAAAAAAAAAAATCCAACAGTAGTGTGAACATGTGACACAAACTTTTTAATAAGCTAATAAAAAATAAATATATTGGTGGTGGAAAATGGGCACTGGTGGAGGGATGGGTACTCGATCACTGTATAATCAAAACCCAAGTACAAAAATTTTTAAGTCTACAACTGTACCTCATGGTGTTTCACTAATAAAAATTAAATAAATAAATAAATCTCAAAAGAAAAAAATATATATAGTATACTAGGACATTCTGAGAAGACTAGGACCAATCACTTTTACAACTTTCTTTGGGGGGGGAAAGTGACTCCCAAGCAGTGTGCAGGGGGCCACAGGTGACACAGGGGAGACTGATGCTTCATTGCTTGGGTCTAGCAGTGCTGGAGGTTACTAGGTAACTTCTAGTTCGTGTAGGTAACTTCGTCAGCATTAGAGTTTATGTATTTTTTCTTTACTTGTGCCTATTTCCTAAGTATCATGTGTTATTTCTTACTATTTCCCATTGTAGTTTCTTTAATGGTTAACAAAATTAAGCATATTTCAAGTATTGATTTACTATTTACCTGTGCATTCTAAATGTGGTCTTATTATATTCCACAGGGAAAAGTTTAAAAACAAATTTCATCATCACTGAAACATTATCTTTCAGGGGGGAGGAAGGGTTGGGTGGTACTCAGAGGCCATTCTTGGTTCTGCGCTCTGGAGGGCCCCCTGAGAGTGCTTGGAGAACCATATGTGACGCAGAGATTTGAACCAGGATTGGCAGGGTGCAAGGCAAGCATCTTGACTTCTGTATTATCTCTCCAATCCTGAAACATTATCCTGATGGATGAAGGCTGAGGTCTCAGCAATGGGCTCCCTCGGTTTCATGGTCTCTCTCACATTGCTGACTCAGGTATGGCAGTCTCAGCATCTTAGAGTCTCTCCAAGAAAGAGACTCTTTCTTAGAAACCATAGCTCTGGGTCTCCCACCCCATCCCAATTTGGATCCATTTTTGCAGCTGACTCAGTCAAAAGCATCCTTATTTGATCTTTTCAGCATGGATAACTGCAGTGGGGACTCATGACCATTTCAGCTTGAGATCCAAGTGCTCTAGTTCACCTCTGCAGAGCCCCTACTTTCAACGAGCATGCTGGCTCATTTTAGCCTGACTTCTTGCTAAGGTGTACAGCACTTGAGAGCTCATGTCACACCTAAATTCAATTTGCTAAAAGAACCAGGAAGTCTGCTCCATGGCTTGGAAGCCGGCAACACATACTGGGGGAAAAGGCAGCTCAGAGAGAGAAGGGAACACCAAGTAAAGGATGTTTGGAGGATTTGCTCAGGGTGTGAAATGAGTGCTGAAAGTAGACTATAGACTGAATACAATGGCCACTCATACCTCTATTGCAAACCACAACACCCTAAAGGAAAGAGAGAGCAAAAGGGAATGCCTTGCCACAGAGGTGGAGTGGGTTGGGAAGGGATGGGGTGGGAGGGCGTCTGGGATCACTGGTGGTGGAGAATGGGCACTGGTGGAGGGACGGGTACTCGATCATTGTATAACTGAAACCCAAGCATGAAAGTTTGTAAGTCTACAACTGTACCTCTTGGTGTTTCACTAATAAAAAACAAACAAACAAAAAAGGTGCAAACCATTTTCCCAATCAAAGACATGGGGACTCAAGTGCTGCTGACAGGAGCTCAGGTCTTCTCTGATGTTAGGCTTCCCTCAGGTGGGAGGGGGGGTATATTGGGGTTCTTGGTGGTGAAAAATGAGTACTGGTAAAGGGAGAGGTGTTTGATCATTGTGTGACCGAGACTTAAACCTGAAAGCTTAGTAACTTTTCCCATAGTGATTCAATACATAAATATCAGAAGAAAAAAAATAAATTATGAAAAAAAAGTAAGATGGAGTTCATGCCCAATTTAATCAGCTAATCAGTGGCTGAATAAATAGCTGTACTTCTACATTAAAAAAAAAATCCTCCTTCCAAGCTCAGGTCACACTGAATGCATAGTCTGCCAAGAAGCAGGACAAGTCTGAGCCGAAGGCCCAGTGGACAAAAACTGGATCACCTGGATCCTGTGTTGAAATGTCCACACTCCCCATTTGCCAGTCTCTATGGTGCGAAGACCAAATAAGGACATGAACTCGGAAGTTAAAGGTCTAATGTTGATTCCTGAATTTGGAATGGCAATCAACAGGGACAGACCATTGGGGGCAGTGGCAAATGTGTAAATTATTGGGGGGGAAATAATCCTATTTATTCAATAGTCCATACTGAAAATATCAAACTATAACCAACATTGTCCCTTGACAATTTTATCTTCTGAATCCCCAAACCCAGGTATCCCAAAACTGAAAAGATCAGATAGCATTTCCTAGTGGGAAACAAAAGGAGTGAGTCACTCTAGCCTGCATTCGCATTTTCATATTATCCGATCAAAGAGGTTTTCCCTTCACTGCATTAAGACTCTATTTTCTCTCTTACTAAAACATCTCCTAGCAGGGTGTTGGTGATGACTAGGGACTATGAACCCCCAAATTTAAGTTTCAAATAATAGAGGTCCAATACAAGTTATGACTCCTTAAAAAAAAATCTATCTCCAACACAACCATCACTACTATCAACAGATCACCCTTAGAAGAAGTACTGAATTCCAAGATTCAAAATGAGAAATGAGCAATTTGAATCCGTTGACATTTTCGGGGAGATGAGAATCACAGAGTAACAGAGAGCTACACCCGGCACCTCTCTCCCGGGTTCCATCTGCTCTATCCATGGTAGGCAGGTGTCTTGCTGGGAGCACACTCAGACTCTAGCAAAGCCACTGCACTCCTTCTGCATTCTCTCCATCTGTGGGATTCCCCAGTCTCAGGAAGTTACATGCCTGGAGGCAGCCAGCCAGCTTCATGAAGAGCCACTTCAAGCCCCTGACGAGTGACATACCTGACTGTGTCCACTGACAAGCACTTCCTCAGCAAAGTGAACCTTCACAGGATTGGTCTTCAGCCTGGCTCTCTTCTCCTCTGTCAGGAAGGATGACTTAGGGATTCCCTGCAAGACATTAATGAGACACATTTATAACAAGACTTAAAAAAAAAAAAACCATCAGGAGTATCTTCTCATTTCCCAGCAAAAACTAGAACAATTGCAGACTTAACTAAAAACTCACACAAGCACAACTCCCATTAAAGGTTTTTTGTTTTGTTTTCGGGGTCACATCCACCTCAGGGCTTACTCCTGGCTCTGCACTCAGAGATCAAGCCTGGAGGGGCTCAGGCGACCAGCTATATGTGGAGCTGAGGACAGAATCTGGTCAGCTGCATGCAAGTGCCTTACCAGCTTAAAATCTCTTCATCATGAAAGATGTTCTTTCATAAAACCTAGCCAAGACATAGTTGTACGTGTCTGAGAACAGCCAAAGATTTAAAATGACTGAGGTATTAAGACAAAGAGTACTGGTCTCTGAACAAGGAAAGCTGAATTCTAATACAAGTTCCATTACTCAAAATTTGTGGGAAATATCTCAAACTTAAACTCTGTTGGATGAAAACTAGTTTTGTGTGAGTGCGTAAGTGTATGTGTGTGTGTGAAAACAAAATAACTAGGTGTAACTGTGGCTAAGACATTGCCTCTCTTTGGCCTTTAGATTTTCTAGCTATGCTGTGTGGGAGTTGTACTAAAATACCTTCAGGGCTGTTTTTGTTTTTTGGGGGGAACATAACCCACCATGCTCAAGATTTCCTCCTGATTCTGTGCTCAGGGATCACTCCTGGTGGGCTTGGGGGACCTATGAGGTGTCGGAAATTGAACCCAGGTTGGCCACATGCAAGGCAAGTGCCTTAGCTATGGTGCTGTATTATGGCTCTGGCCCAGGGCTCTCTGGACTCTGGAACCCTGATTTATTCTTGATTGACTCCTTATTGCCATTCTCAGCTTTGGGGCAGTATCCTCTTTTTTCCAGAGGTAAGAAAGTTATAGTAGGTTGGTAGGAATACATGGTAAAGCCCTGGGCCTAGACAGAATCTGGACAAATTGTGAAACTTAATGAATTATATTTTGCATGAGCAAGACCAAGGGGATGTGATCATTCTGGTTGAAATCCCAATATTCTATATTCCCTTATGATATTCTATGATTTTTTGGTCTGAGCAGTCCTTTAGGGTCTAGATGTTTGAGTTCAACAAGTGACCAAAGATGGTTCTCTGTACCACTTTCTGTGTGGCTGAGAGAAAAGATACATCACAGTGTTAAGGAAAATGCTGAAAATAATGCTTATAGATTCAGCAATAGACCAAAGCCCTGAAGTATATAAAATGAACAAGGGATCCTGAAGCTTTAATGCAAGAAGATAATTGTGATTTCTAGTATCACAGTATTCTTGGTATGACAGATTTTATGACTATGATCCAATATCTCAAATATACAGCTTGCTTTAATTTTTTTTAAAAGTTGGAGTCAGGAAAATAGCAATGTTCCCAGAGTAGAGGTACACCTATGGGGTAAACCCTCAACTGGAGAAATTAATTTGTTTTCTTCTTCAAGCAGAATGACCTTTCAACCAGAAATGACAGGCTTAAGAAAGAGAGAAACTGTAACACAAAAATTAGTGATGAGACAGCTTTGAATTAGTTTAAGCTCTGATACAAAGAAATCTACAAGGCTAAGGATCCTATTATATGCAACAACTGGCATCACTCACAGAACAAAGAGTAGAAGAAATATTAGGAGACTCAAGATGGTTAAGTATCAAGTTTCCTAGAAATGAAAGAATATGGAAGATTAAGGAAAACACCTATTAGTAAATTTACAGTAACTCTTGGCAACATCCAAGACAAAAGATGGTCAGAGAGCTTTTAGACATTGACTACTAATAACCAATATGGAGTTACCAAGAACAAGTCAGAGTCAACCAAGTTCATTTTTCTTTTGAAGATAGGATTCCACATTGGTAGGCCAGGGTCCTGTGGACATAGTAGCATTCCTTCATTCTTGCAAAGTATTTGATAAGGTGTCCTATAATCCTCCTGTGAAGAAGGCCAGATGATGCAGAGCCATTAGGTAAATTCAAAACTCAAGCTCACTTTCATTTGTGACTACATAACTCAGGCTCCATTTGGCTCAGTCCTCATCAATGACATTATGTCTTAGATGGAGTAGGAGGAAGTAGACTTACTAAACACATGGATGACACAGATCTATCAAGTGTCACTAGATTTAAGGTAGCAGAGATTTAGAAGGAAGAGTAGGGGGGGTCAAGAGTGGAAGGCAGTATTGCAAAGTGAGAGGGCAAGTCCACAGGTAAAGCATTATCACCTTCAGGACTCAAAGGCAGGAAAATTAGAGGCAGAGTGAAGAAGAGACGCAGAGAATAGAGGAATCTGCAGAGACAAATGCTGTTGTCTCTCAGCCCAACACAAACTGTCCTGCAAAAGTGGGGTGCAGAGCTGGTTCATACTTAAGCAAGTCAATTCCAGGTAATGAAGGAAGAGGGGAAGAATAGGGAAGTAATGGCTCTCTGAAAAGAAAGAATAATGATTACCACTGATGATTGTACAAGCATGCCTTTGAGCCCCACGATTCTCTGCAAAATCCCAGAATGACAGAACATTGGGGTGAAGCAACATGATTTGACAGGCACTACAGAAAGTGTGGCACTGATGACTGATTGCTCAAGCAAGGGATGGAGGTGATGGTCCTGGGTGTACCTGGCTAGAAGCTGTTCATTTGAAAAGCAGCTCAGTTTTCAGTAAGTTACAAGTTTGACTCTAGCCAGTAGTCAGACATTGCTTAACATCATTTTGGTCAGCAATGGGCTACAGACATGACAGTGGTCTCAATAGAGCATACCACATAGTCTAGGTGTATTGCAGTGTATATCATCTAGGTTTGTGGAATTCCCATCTGTGATAAGTCACCTAACAACACTTTTCTCAGAATGTATCTCCATTATTAAATGACTCACGTCTGTTGTGGTGCGGTTGGCCTGCTAAAATGTTGACCCTCAGTCTTGGGGTTCACAAACTCTTGTGCATGTCAGACGTGTACATTCTTTCCCCACAGTGCTCACACTGGCTGCCCACAGTTGGAACTACCTTTCTTTCTGGATGCCGCCACTTGCGAGGATCACCATGAAATTGTAATCTGACCCCAAAACTATCACAGAAATGAAAGTTCAGAGTAATGCATCTTATGACAAAGAGTGAATGGAACAGTGTTTAGTCTGAAGAAATAAATATCAGCCTCTTAATAACCATTTCATACAAGGTAGACTTGTTTGAACAAGAACTAGTTGGTAACGATTATAGGACAGAAGGCCTTGCTTACATTTGGAACCACTCAACCAGGAGACAAGCTGACCTGAGAAAGAATACATTCCCTGTCTCAGAAAGGCTCCATCCACAGTCCTCCCTGTGGCTCTGACAATTTTACACCTGGATGTACTGCTACCTGTATACTCCGGAGTGTAAAATACATTGGAAACCATTTATTTGAGCCATCTGATATTAACAAGAGACAGCTTGAAGGATATGAGCTACCCATTATTCTCAGATGCTGCAACTTTCCCTGGATTCTAAATTAGCACATCACAGAACAACACTGAACGAAAAACAAACACTGCATGATATTTTGTCGAGCACAAAGTGCTTAATCTAAGCACCCCAAAACGACACATTGGAGATGTTTACTACTTCCCAGCCCCAAGCTGACCAATGCAAGTCTATGATGACAGCAGGGTTGGAGGAGCCAGACCAGCATAATGCTGACAAGTGGAATTCTGGAGTCCAGCTGCCTGGAAACTGATTTTGCATGTGAGGCCAGTGTGCCCTCACCTATCAAAGGGGGATAACAAACAGATCTTCCGGGTAGGGTTTTCTTTTGGCAAAAATTAAAGACACATTAAATATTAGTACCACTAACAGCAATAAACCATACAAATGTTACAATTACAGATCTATGTAAGTAAACCAAAATTAAATTCTCCATATCCTAGAGGAACAGTAACTGATGTTCTGACTAGTTATAACTAATTCCTGATCAATTTCAAGTTCTTTGAGGACCCAAAGAATCCATTCTGACAAAGATGAGCATCCTTGCTAACGCAAAACATAAATGATCATTTGTCTTACAACCATGTATCTTTCGATGAAAATCTAGTCAAAGTTTAGGCAATTCTCTGAGGTATCCCTGAGGGGCCTCCAGAGCACAGAATCTGCATCCTCATCTGTGAGAACTTTGCAGGCCCCTCAGGGATGCCAAGAGACCATGTTAGTTATTCTTTTTCCTCTGTTTTTAATTATTAAAAGATGCAGTTCTAGGATATTTCCTTCTTGCCTTACTTAATAAGTTCTCTTTTGCCTTCATTTCTTGGAAATTAATCTCATAGATGTCCTCTGTCGAGAAGATAATCAGATTAAAAATAAAGAAATCTTTTAACACCTACAGGGCCATTTATAATACTTTGCTTTCAGTCTAATACTTTTTATATATTGAATCCACATTATTTAATTCAAAAGGTCTGTTTAGGAATCTCCCATTTATTTGTGTAAAAGGCAATTTGTCTGTCATAACACAGTGGGTAGGGCATTTGCCTTGCATGTGGCCAACCCAGGTTCGATTCCTCCACCCCTCTTGGAGAACCCGGCATGCTACTGATAGTATTCCGCCTGCATGGCAAAACCCACGGCATATTCGAGATGCCAAAAACAGTAACAACAAGTCTCACAATGAAGATGTTGCTGGTGCCCACTTGAGCAAATCGATGAACAATGGGAGGACAGTGCTACTGTGCTATTTTTGGCAACTATCTTAATCCAATTTAGTTTTTACTATTCTACTTCCAAGAACGAAAGCAAAAGATAATACTTGTCAAACAAGGAGAGTAGATATACTAAAATACAAATTTTAGTGAAATACTAAAATACAAATTTCTTTGTGCTTTAATATTGAAATATTTAATATTTAATATTTTGTACATTTACCTAATCAAAAATAGCCATCATTCCACAGTGCTTCCTGCCATTCTCTATATGCTTAGAAATTCTTTCTATACCTGATAACTATATTACAGATGTTTGTGCATGATCATGTGTATGTCTGCTATGCTAGCCACTATTTTGCGGCTTTACTTTACTTTACTTGAGCTTGCCTCACATTTGCAAGGCATGCAATATACAGCTAACCAACATCTCTAGCTCTATGGTTTAGTTTTTAAAATATTTAATCTTAAACATCAAATGTTGTGAGATAAGACTATTTTTTTCAAAATATGTAGAAAATGTTTAGGTATGGTTTCTTGAATCATTTGATCTACCACTGTGGGATGCCCTATTTACTACATAATAAATTCTTATATTCACATTTATTCTTCAGCTTTCTGTCTTTCTCTACCTCTACACTGTTATGTTCAGCATTGCATCTATTTTATACTATTTTAATGGTTACGGCTTTATTATTTTAAAATTTGGTTCATCAAAATCATCCTCATGACACTTAAGGGTTTCTTGATCATTCCCTCATTGATATTCTTCATAAAAACCCAAATAAAAGGTCCACAGCAAGACTGGTTTCCAGCATCAGAAGCATCAATATGAGAATAAGAAATATATGAAGAATAGTCTTGTCATCAAGAAACACAATCAAAATTCAGCAACTTTCTAGTTTCTTCACATAGGGGCCACATCATTTTTTTTTTTTACCTCCAGGTTTTTCTATTTTATTTTATTTATTTGGAAAGTATATGTAACACCTAGACTTATTTATCAACTTAATACTTTTTCTGTATTCCAAAACAATCAGTGTTTTATAATTTTTATTCTACTTTGTGTTTATTAAACTTCCCTGAATAAAACTGTGCACTGACTATTGAGCTATGTATGTACTTATTAATTTTTGTCTGTTTGTGTTTGTTTTGTCTGTTTGGTTTTGGTGTCATCCTCAGTTTTGTTCAGCATTTACTTCTGTCTCTGTGCTCAAGGGTCATTCCTGGCAATGCTTGGGGAACCATATGTGGTGAGGGAATCAAACCAGGGTCTCTTGGTAAAAGGCAACTCTCTCACCCCCTGTACTATCTCTTTGGTCCCTATATCCTTATTAAATAAAAAAAATAAGTTTAATCTATAAACATTATTCCCTGGATAGTTTCAGCATATTAAGTTTTAGGAAGTACAGGACCTATTTTGTAACTAATGGACATTTAGAGTTTCTATTTATACCATATTTACTTAAGGGATCATTTTTTACTTCCAAATGGCTGTTAGCTATAGTAGTTAGATCACTTTCTATTTTACTATAGTACAGAAAAGAGATCCATCATTTTCTTATTTGGGGACTTCATTGAGTTTTCTTGGTAGTATGTGATAGATTCACTAATCAAATACAGTATAAAAATATAAAAACTGAAACCAAAGCCAGACGACTCTAACTTGTTTTGAAACCCCCACTTTGTTGCTCCCTTCACAGTCTCACTCACGGATCAGGGATGTTTCCTTGGCTGGACCATGCAGGTCTTGCAGTCTGTGACCACATCTGTTTCCTCCACCATCCCACCACACCCATCTTCAGGCCACACCACACATTCGCTGCCTGGCTGCTGTCTCTTCTTCCCTCCACCCTCCCTACTAAGGCTTCCCCTGGCTGAGAATTTGGATGCTAACACACAGAACATGGAAGAAGATTTACCGACGTGCAGCGAACAACTGTGATTGAGAGAGAATCTTCTGCTTCCCTGGAAGAAGAAAGAGAAAAACATGTCATCATTCTGGGTGATACTGTGTGTGAGTAAGTGTGTGTGTGTGTGTGTGTGTGTGTGTGTGTGTGTGTGTGAGTTTGTGCATGTGTGCATGCAGGCATGTGTGTGCGTGCATGCATGCGTGTGTGTGTGTGTGTGTGTGTGTGTGTGTATGTGTGTGTGACGGAGGAGGCGGGAGAGAGAGGGGGAGAGAGAGAGAGAGAATTACAAAGAAACCCTTCAACCCTTCTTGCTTCAGCTTTCTTGGCTCACAAAACTGAGGACACTGAGGGAAACTATGGCCTTCAAAGGACTCTGAAGTGCTCCTTTACTAAAGACCTCGAGGGAAACTTTAGTAACTCCCCCTTACCATGACAGCTGCTGTAGCACTGTCCTCCCATTGTTCATTGATTTGCTAGAGTGGGCACCAGTAACGACTCCATTGTGAGCCTTGTTGCTACTGGGTTTTTTTTTTGGGGGGGGGGGCATATTGAATATGCCACAGGGAGCTTGCCAGGCTCTGCCGTGTGGGTGGGATTCTCTTGGTAGCTTGCGTGGCTCTCCGAGAGGGACGGAGGAATTGAACCCAGATCAGCCGCGTGCAAGGCAAATGCCCTACCCGCTGTGCTATTGCTCCAGCCCTGTCATAAACTAACCTTGGAAAATTCATATATATTTTTTGCCTATCAATAGACATATAATATAAATACCAATTGTCATGTAACATGGAAAAGACACTTCTGGCACTTGGAAATCTTGAGTTGAGTTTATCCATTTGAGCATCAATATCAGCAGCAATTGGCTTAAAGTTTCATATTGCAGGAGGTAAAATGAAATTATTTTTATAAACTGCTTCTCTATGTAGCAGTGGTAAAGAAAAAGGAAAATATGATTTAATCAATTCTGAGTCCTGTCAACTAATGCAGACTGAAGATTTGGCAGATATGGGGCTGATTTGATTACTTTTGGAATCTAAGTTGTACATGTACAATTTAAAATACAATCTAATCTCATGCTGATTATGTGATTGGGCTCATTACACTCACTTCGTTTGCTCCAGTCTCCAACATCACAAACTAGTTGGCTTTTTATCTGACATTTGCTATCTGCATTTATTCATCCTATTTAGTCAAATGGTTCACCTAAGTGTTCTGATACAGCATACAATCAAAGTTTTCTGTTATTGCCATGTTTTCTCTTAAGAGTTTTTGGTGTGTTTTGGGGCTACACCCAGCAGTGCTCAAGAGCTACTCTCAGTATGGTGCTCAGAGGTCATTTCCCAGCAGTGCTTGAGAATCTATGTGGAACCAAGGAAAGCACCCAGACTTTCTGCAGGCAAAACATGTGCTCCAATCCTAGGAGCTATCTCCCTGTCCCAAACACGATGATGCCGGATTGTTATCTCTTTGTTCTCTGGTACTGGGATTGCGCCCAGGGATTCACACATACTAGGCAAGTGCTCTTCTGCTGAGCCACATCCCTAACTTTCCCTTAAAAAGGTTTTTTGGCGGGGGGAGCATAAACTTAGCCTAGGTCATAGAGATAGGTGAGTTTTCCATTTGCTAGACTAAATTGGGGCTAAATTACTTAGTTACTTAATTTAGCAGCTGTGATGTTCCAGTGGAGCGATTTGCCTTGCAATAAAAGTGTTTGCTCTGCACGCAACCGACCTGGGTTCAATTCGGCCGACCCGGGTTCGATTACTCTGTCCCTCTCGGAGAGCCTGGCAAGATACCGAGAGTATCTCGCCCACACGGCAGAGCCTGGCAAGCTCCCCGTGGCATTTTCGATATGCCAAAAACAGTAACAACAAGTCTCACAATGGAGACGTCACTGGTGCCCACTTGAGCAAACCGATGAACAACGGGAGGACAGTGCGACAGTGCTACAGTGCTAATTCATGACAAACCAAAGCCCAGACACTCTCAAAATGACATTTTGGGCCTTTGGAAGTATTTGGAAGAATTAGGATGTTTCTTTTGTTTGTTTTATTTTAATTAGGGAGGATTTTTAAAAACAGTTATCATTTTTTACTTAGGGAGTTTAGTTGTGTTATTTTGTTTCTCTTTCTCTTGTCAACGACAGGGGGAACAAAGCTTTATTTATTTTTACTTATTTATTTACTTTTGGACCACACCTAGCAGTGCTCAGCACTTATTCTTAGTGCTGCACTCAGGAATTACTCCAGGCTGGACTCATGGGGAATCACGGGAAATGTGGTGTTAGGGATCACACCCAGGTCAACTGCATGCAAAGCAAGTACCCACAGAGCTAGAGCACAGCGGGTAGGGCATTTGCCTTGCATGTGGCTGACCTGGGTTCGATTCCTCCATTCCTCTCGGAGACCACAGCAAGCTACTGAGAGTATTCTGCCCACACAGCAGAACCTGGCAAGCTCCCCGTGGTGCATTTGATATGCCAGAAACAATAACAAGTCTTACAATGGAGACGTTACTGGTGCCCACTCGAGCAAACCAGTAAACAACGGGGGGACGGTGCTACAGTGCTACTTTCATTTATTCATTTGATTTAACTGGGAACAAAGATAACTAGCCCAGAAAATATAAAATTTATTTGCTGTGGGGCTGGAGCAATAGCACAGCGGGTAGGGCGTTTGCCTTGCACACAGCTGACCTAGGTTCGATTTCCAGGATCCCATATAGTCCCCTGAGCACCGCCAGGAGAAATTCCTGAGTGCATGAACCAGGAGTAACTCCTGTGCATTGCCGGGTGTGACCCAAAATGCAAAAAAAAAAAAAAAAATTATTTGCTGAAACTGATAATCTTTTTTTGGGGGGGGGGGCACACCTAGCAGTGCTCAGGGGCCACTACTGACTTTGTTCAGGGGTCACGCCTGGTGGTACTGGGATTCGAACATGGGGCTCATCACCATAACCAATGTATTATCTTCCCGGCCCTGAAACATTATCTTTAGTAAAACCATACAATAACTGGGATAGTAAATCCTATGATTTCCATAGCCAAACTTAGTTTATAAAAAGTGAAATCACCAAATCCTTTCCTGGCTTCCCCAGATAGCCAGCTGATTCCCTGGAGATCCAAAGCTAATTCTGGGCTTGGATGCAAGGATGGTGTCTTCTCTAATTTGATGGAGTCTGCATAAATCTTAAGCTATGTGAGTCTCTCTGCAGTGAGACTGCTTGCTGAGGATGGAGACTATGTCTGAATTTCCTTTTCTCTGGCTTTGTCAGGGTCACCTACTATCCAATACACAGAGAATATGTGCTCAGAAGTGAAAACCTCCCCAGACCAGGTCAAAAGGGCAGAAAATGAAGTACAAAGTTTCAGTATCTCAAGTTGTCTTTTTATCAAACTCCATTTCTCATGTCCCTTTATTTCATTATGGCCATTAAAACAAAACAGAAAGATTTAATAGACAAATGTTTATAAAATGCCTGTTAGCCTCTACACAGTCAAACCACAGACATTCCTTTGTCTCAGAACCAGGGTCACCAATTCTCCTAGCTAACCATATTCACTCAGGCAGCCGAGCACCTGCCACGTGCCTGGGCTCAAGGCTCGTAAACTAGCAGAAAGTGAGCTATGAGTAGAGAAAGAAAGGAAGAGCTTTAGAGAAGAACAAGAAGCTTTAGCTTTGATTTAGTGATATCTTTGGGATGTGTCCAGACAACCTGACAAGGGGATTCTATATTATTCATAATTCCGTTCTCTACTGTGCCTAGTGGGCTGGAGCGATAGCACAGTGGGCGGGGCATTTGCCTTTCACGCAGCCAACACGGCCGACTCAAGTTCGATTCCTTCCCCCCTCTCGGAGAGCCTGGCAAGCTACCGAGAGTATCTCACCTGCATGGCAAAGCCTGGCAAGCTACCCGTTATGTATTCAATATGCCAAACACAGTAACAACAAAGTCTCAAAATGGAGATGTTACTGGGCCCGCTTGAGCAAATCGATGAACAACAAGAGGACTGTGCCTAGTACAGAGGCTTGGGTATAGCAGGGATGTAACCAACTTAAGTCCTGGTGCCTCCCACACGTTTCTGTTGTGAGTAAAAGAGAGGCAAGGAGGACAGCCACCACCAAGAAGTCATCCCAACAGAACCAGAACTGTAAAATGGGGCTGTTGTGAAATGGGGGTGTGTCTCACCAGAAGGCCCTAGGTTTGAACCCTGTTGCCACAGAAAGTATTTTTTTAAATAAAAAATAAAATGAGGTTGTTGCTGCTTTAGATAAGTCTGGGCCTAAATACAACGATGGGGAGATGGGTTAGGATACTCCTGTTGCCCGTCTGTGCTCTGGGAGAACCTGGGAGACTCAGGAGGGGAGAGGACAGTGTTAGTGCAGTACCTCAGGATATGGACGGCTCGTTCATAGGAGAGGTCTTCAGCAGGTTCATCATTCATCTGCAGGATCTGATCCCCAGGGAAAAGCTTGCCATGGGCGGAGCCTCCTATTGCAGAGAAAAGAAGTAACTGGTTCTGGTGCCCACAGAGGGGTGTGGTGGGGAGAAGACCCCACGTGTCACCAAGGCAGGCCTGAGAGACTGCCTGACCCTGTCTCCAAGACCTTGGCTCACTTTCGCCCCTGGATGGCATTGGGCTTAGGCTAGCTCAGTATCTGCTCAGTATTTACCCAATCCCTCTACAGGCTGTCAGGAGATGGTCCTGGGAGAGGCTTGCAGTTATCCCTGAATCAAGATAACTACCCGATGAGAGCAGTCTTCTACACGGGTCTCAAAAAGACTTTGTGTGTGTGTAGGTGAAATTATTAGATATTTAACTATTCCCAGATCTAACATCAGTCGATAGGTGAAGTATGAAAACACACACAAAATGTTCCTAGCCTGCTTCTCTTCACCCTGATATTTTTTCAAAGACTCAAGTGAAAACAAATCAATAGTTCCTATTACTGTCTGATCAGAAATTCTCCCTGGCACAGAGTAAGTGGGGTACAAAGAGGAGGATCTGCCGATTCTGACACTGTCCTCTGAGACTGGCCAGGGAGCCTGTGCTGAGAGAGTGGGAGCCTGGGTGCAGAATCGCAAGGCCTCTTGGAGGATCCCTCCCTTCCAGCACCTAAAGAAGGAGCAAAGTTTGGCAGAATGTCGTTAGGATTAGGAATCCCTTTCTAATGTCTGGGGGTAGCTTTTTCCTGCATTATATGAAGAGAACAATGGGAAGAGAACCAGGGCTACTTCCCCGCACATCCCAACACACACACAGAAGCCAAGTCCTCTCTTGATTTCCAAGTGGCCCCTACCTGCGGTGACAGCCAGCACTGTGAGGGGAAGGCTCTCAGAAATGTGGAATCCGTAGTCCTGAAGGAGAGCATCTTTGTCTATTTTTACTGTGTGTTTCACAGGAGCAAGAGTCTGAACTGGGATCCCGGGAGGCCCATCAGCTGCAGCAACCTTAGCCCTGGAAGAGAAAGAGGATATGAAAAAGAAAAAGAAATCTAGTTAGTTGCCACAATCTGGATTATCCATAGCATCCTGAAGAAAGAATAAGCAGAGCTGAGCTGGGTGTCCTCTTGTGGAAAACAAAGCACAAACTTCTGTAAAGAAAGCAACAAGGAGAGCAGCTCTATGGCATTTCTATGAACTTTCTTTCAAAGCAGCATTTTTAGCCTTGGGACCCCCAGAGGCCTCTAAGATATTCCATGGAGGCCACAAGTGAAAAAAAGCATAAATGAGTGGGCAGGACAGGGACAGGAGGCCCAGGAGGGAAACAAGGTCAGAAGAGTGCGTGGGTGGGGCATGACAGAACACAAAGATTGAGAAACAGTGTTCTAAAAGAGGAGTAATGAAGTGGGATGGACATTGCAAGAAGGTGCGGGGGGGGGGCAGTTATAATTTGTTGGGTAGAGGATAAGCCATTGGAATGATTTTTTTATCTTTAAATCAGAAATAGTTTGTGCATCACGAATGCATTTGCTCCCTGGAAGGGCAGTATTAGTATGGTATATAAACACAGCCTGGATCAGACACAGAGAGTCACTACTGCTGAGTGGGCACATGCTTAGATGGATGCAGGCATGGGTAAATGCATAGGTGGGTGGGTGGATAGATGGATGGATGGGTGAATGAATGAATGGAAGAAAGGAAGTAAGGATCGATGGATGAATGGATAAATATGAGGATGGATGGATGGGTGGATGGATGGATGGATGGATGACTCTAATGGTGCTTGAGTATATGGAGAGATAGATAAGTATATAAGTGTATGGATGAATGGACAGATACTTCAGGCAGGAGGCACTGCTTGAACAGAGGTGTAGATGAAAAAAAACATTACTATGAACAGAAGGGGAAGTTGTTCATTCTGAATGTCAGATGATGAGCAATTTTATGAAGGTAGTGTTTCTTTGGTGAGATTTTTGCTGAATTTATGATGAATATCACATTCCTTTCAAGTTTCTAGTTGTGACAGTTTCAATGTGAAATCCCAAATAAGAAGGACAGCTTCCGTATCAAATATATTTTTAAATGCATCTTCTAAAAGCAGGTGAGATGAAAGTTGTATATTCTATCTCTCAAAATCAGCAAAGCACAAGCTGTTTATCATTTGCCAGTGGCAAGTGATATTTTTTTTTCTTCCCTCTAAGAGTCAGCGGTTCTTTCTGCGGAAGGTGAAATCATGAAGGGATGAGGTGTGTATTGTTACAAACAACAGAAATGCAGAGCAGTAACAGCTCCCCAGGGCTCTGCAGTTAAAGTCTATCATTTATTCTTATCCATTTACCAAACACCGTCAGGAACTCTGCCTAATGCAATAGGATCTCACTTATCTAAAAATCACATCTCTGTCATTTGTGATGATCTCAAATTTCAACAAAGATCAGGAAATATGAAACACTGTCTCTTGGAGCCTAAATGCATGTGAAACGTCCAAGAACAAAGTCTCACACACATTATCCTGCAAGGAGTTCCTTAGACCCTGACTTTGAGCCAGTTCAGGATGTCTGCACAGTCACTCACTCGCAAGCTTAGAAGATACATTTCTTTTAGTTTTTTTTTTTGGGGGGGGGGGGTTGTTTATTTTTATCTTTTTTCATCACACCCAGCGATGCTCAGGGGTTACTCCTGGCTCTGCACTCAGGAATTACTCCTGGCAGTACTTGGGGAACCATATGAGATGCTGGGGATCGAACCCTTGCAAGGTCGCATGCAAGGCAAATGCCCTACCTACCCTCTGTACTATGGCTCCTGCCCAAGACTTTTTTTAGGTAAATACACAGGTAATACCAAGAACTTTCAGCAGGTAATTCTAACAAGGAAAAAAATAAGAAAAACTGAAAACTTAAACTGAGTTAAAACTCATACCCACAACTGATTATTTTAATGAATACACTCATTTCATAGAGTGAGGAACTGAATCTCACTAGGGCCCACATACACAGCATGCACTCTACCACTGAGCCATACCATAGACCCTTCTGACTTAAAAAACAAAAACAAACAAGAAAAAAATAAAAACCTTTAAGGGCCAGAGTGATGGTCCAGTGAGTAGGGTACTTGCCTTGCATGCAGCCAACCTGGGTTCAGTACCTGGAATCCTATATGGTCCTCTGAGCACTGTCAAGACTGAATGCAGAGACAGGAGTAACCCCTGAGCATTGATAGGTGTGATCCCCAAACCAAAACAAACAAACACAAAATCTTTAAAGTTACAATGGCCTCCTCTAAATAGAATAAACAGTGTAATACACTGATAGCAAAAAAAAAAGAAAAGAAAAGAAAATCAACTTATGAGTTGCTTTGAAAGAGCAACACTCTAGACTTTTAATGCTGAAGGAGAAACATTGTGAGAGCTATCAGAGGGAGAAGACTAGTTCAAGGGAAAAGCAAAGGCAACAGAAAAGTACTGTTTTGAAAATAAAATAAAAGTACCATTTTAAAATAAAATGGTGATATACTCCAAAAATGATAAAGGAAATTTCTGGGGCTAACAAAATAAGTTTAGTGATATTGTGGGATGGAAGGAAAGCATAAAGCAGGTTCCCTGAAGCACTCAATAGTTCATTAAAATAAGATTAGTTGAGTGTATGTTAGGTGCTAGGCATTCTTAATTAGCTCACACAATTAAGGAAGATACAATAATCAGGTGAGACTTACACCATGGTTGGAAGACTTACTGAAAATAAAAAGACCCAAGAAAAAATATAAATAAATGTGATCTAGATAAAAAAAAATTCTTCAGGTTAAAAACAAATGCTGGTAAGTTGATTATGGGAATAGAAGCAGTAATAACATTACTACATTAATGGTATTTACTGAGCATCAGCTATGCCTCAAGGAGTAAGCTAACTTATTTTCATGGCTGGCTCACTGAACCCTCATGACCAACTTGGGAGGTGAATGTGGTTATTACCCCTATTGCTAGCCCTATCCTATCTGACAAGAAGTCCAGATCTTGCTTGGAGCCTTTAATAAGTGAGTCACATAGCTGAAGGTGAGGGTTCCAACTAATGCTACTTTCTTCCGTAGGTTCTGGGACACAATCTATGAGCAGTACTGCATAAAAGGAATACTAATTCCATGCAAGGCAAGACACATACACAAATAGAGTTTCCTAATAGCTACACAGTAAAAAGAAAAGGAAATAAAGATTTCTAACCATTATGGAGTTTCATTATGAGGTGATGAAAATCTTGTGAATGTCAAAGTCAAGGAACTGTATATTTGATGTGGATGAATTATGTGAGATATGTTGTATTTCAATAAAGTGACTGAAAATAAGTCAATTAAAAATATTCTAGGTAGGGGAGGATGAAAGCTTACAATACAAATAAACATATGAAGAAAACATGCTTTAATGCTCCAAGTAAGTAAGTAAACTGCAAATTTATGCATAAAGAAATAAATTGGTAAAATATTCACCTGTGTGAACTGAAGAATCACATTTTTCTTATTAGTTTTTGGGCCACACCTGGCTGTGCTCTGGGCTTACTCCTGGCTTTGTGCTAAAGGGTCATTCCTGCCCGACTCAGGGACCATATGGGCTGCCAGGGATCGAACCCAGGTTGGTCTTATCCAAGGCAAGCATTCCACCTTGTACTATTGCTTCAGTCTGAAAAAATCACAATTGTAAGGGCTACAGAATGTTGTTACATGTCTACTAAAGCACCAACTATAAATAAAACAAGAAAGTCCAACATGGATGGGATTTAAGGCTGGCAATTAAGACTGACCATATAAAGTGGCTACTTAATCTCTCTGGAATGTAGCTTCATAAACAAACTGTGGGTTACTATTCCATGTGGGATCTCATAGTATTGAGGCTAAGGTACTACTTACTTGCCTTGCACAAGGATCACCTGAGGGGTTCAATCCCCAGCAAGCAAGGTCCTCCAAGCAAGACCAGGGGTCACTCCTGAGCATTGATTCAGGAGTAAGCCCCTGAGCACTGTCAGGTGTGTCCCAATCTACTCTCTCTCAATAAATTTTAAAAATTAAATATACGTAATAAAATGGCTTATTTAAAAATAAGTAAATAAAATAAATTTCTTATAAGAAGGGGCCTAGGGACAGGTGGAATGACATTAACATTGGTGGCAGCATCAAATAGTAATGCCCTCTGTCTAAAACATTACTATTAATGGTATTGTAAATCATCATATCTAAATTTAAAAAATTAAATCATTTTAATGACTTAATTGGTAAATTTTGTAATCCTAGTTTACATGTTTATATACCCAAGGTCAAGTAAAAATGTTTTCGATGAAAAGGGGTAATGGGTGGGAAAAGTTTAAGAAACTTTACTCTAGAAAATAACCCAGGGAAATGATTATGAATTTAAACTTTAATGCTTTTCTTCAACTTTCTGTTCCCACTTTGACTTTTAAGTAATAAATCCAAACAAAACACCTAATATTATTTGTTATCCATTTACCTATCTCTATCTCTGTATTGTCTAGGCCTGAAGTCCTAGACCAAAGTATAAGCTCAAAATGCTTTGGCTCGTAAAAATTCAAAAATATTTATTTTATTCAAAATATTATTTATTCTTTATTTAGAACAGTAGAAAAACCTGAAACAACCTAACAGATAATAGGTAAATCAAGCATGGTGAATTACCGAAGACTGTATTTCAATGAAGGATAACCAGTCTGTAAACTTGAGACATAAACGAAAATGCAGCTTAGAAAACTAATCCCCCTTCCTAAGAGTGAGCTTTGAATATCCACTCCCCACACCTGCCCAACACACACAAGATAAGTCAGACTCTCATCCTTATCCTCATGTTCTTAATTTTCTGCTCTCTGGCACTGGTCAACACGCACACCCACTTCTCTTCACGTCAGACACTCTCACTTGCTGTACTATCGTGACCACCAGGCCTCCCTGCAGGCAGCTAACCTAGCAGAAAAAATGGGAGGCCCAGTCTAGACTGAGCTCGAGTGCCAACTCTTTCAAAAA